GGAGTGCCAGCACGTGGTAGGGGGCGCGGTGGGGGGTATCGGTCGGTTTTGGGCGAGAAATGGCGGGGTGGGGGGTCCCCAGAACAGAGGCTCCATGGGGTGGGAGTGCCGGGGCGTGGTGGGGGGCGCGGTGGGGGGTATCGGTCGGTTTTGAGCGAGAAATGGTGGGGTGGGGGGTCCGAAGAACAGAGACTCCATGGGGTGGGAGTGCCGGCACGTGGTGGGGGGCGCGGTGGGGGGTATCGGTCGGTTTTGAGCGAGAAATGGTGGGGTGGGGGGTCCGAAGAACAGAGGCTCCATGGGGTGGGAGTGCCGGGGCGTGGTGGGGGCGCGGCGGGGGGTATCGGTCGGTTTTGGGCGAGAAATGGTGGGGTGGGGGGTCCCAAGAACAGAGGCTCCATGGGGTGGGAGTGCCGGGGCGTGGTGGGGGGCGCGGTGGGGGGTATCGGTCGGTTTTGGGCGAGAAATGGTGGGGTGGGGGGTCCCAAGAACAGAGGCTCCATGGGGTGGGAGTACCGGGGCGTGGTGGGGGGCGCGGTGGGGGGTATCGGTCAGAGGCCCAAGAACAGAGGCTCCATGGGGCAGGAGTGCCGGGGCGTGGTGGGGGGCGCGGTGGGGGGTATCGGTCGGTTTTGGGCGAGAAATGGTGGGGTGGGGGGTCCCAAGAACAGAGGCTCCATGGGGTGGGAATGCCGGGCGTTGTGGGGGGCGCGGTGGGGGGTATCGGTCGGTTTTGGGCGAGAAATCTAGTGGGGTGGGGGGTCCCAAAACTAGAGGCTCCAGAGGGTGGGGATGTCGGTCGGTTGGCCCTCGCCCAGGAGGGGGGCGAGGTAGCGAGGTGGCGGAGACAGCACTTGTCGTGTGGGCAGGGCACGGAGAAAAGTATGGGTCCATGTTGGGGAATGTTGGGCAAAGCTTGTCTCTTTTCCTCACGCGCCTCTGGGGTCGGCGGATTATTATGATGTTGCCCATGCTGATGGTGATGATGATGAGTTGGTGATGGTTATGGTGATGATCATGGTGATGCTGATGATGACGATGATGGTGGTGTCGGTGGAGGGGACGATGATGACGATGACGATGACGATGGCGCTGATGATGACGATGGTGAAGATGATGCTGTTGATGTTGATGGCGATGCTGATGGTAATGATGCTGACGATGATGCTGATGATGCTGACGACGACGATGATTATGATTATGAGGGTGAAGATGCGGATGATGTTGATTACGAATGCGGTGGTGGTGATTGTGATGATGATGGTGATGAGGAGTAGTATGCTGAGGATGATGATGCTATTGATGATGCTGAATATGTTGATGCTGATGATTATGATTGCGATGATGATGTAGATGATTGTGATGAAGACGGCGAGATGATGCTGATGATGATGATCATGATGATGCTGCTGATGATGATGCTGCTGATGATGACGATGATGATGCCGATGAGGATGATGATGATGCCGACGATGATGATGATGCTGATGCTGCTGATGATGATGATGCTGATGATGATGTATCTGATGATGGCGATGCTGATGACGGCGATGCTGATGTTGATGATGCTGATGCTGATGCTGATGCTGATGCTGATGCTTATGATGATGATGATGATGGTGGTGATGATGATGATGATGATGATGATGACGATGGGTCTTCATCTGCCAGGACCCGTACAGCCCCGAGAAGAACCTCAAGGCGGCGCCCAATGGGCCAACTCCGGCGAGTCCGAGCTGGAGCCCGTGCCCGCTACAGCGGCCGCCGCCTCCACCTTCTTCATTGGTTCGGACGCCTCCGCCACCTCCAAGGAAGAGGAGGATTCCGCCGCCTCCGCCAGCATTTGCCCCGCCACGGGCAAGCTGGTGAACAATCGCATGGAGCTGACGGACGCCGAACGTAAGGAGAGGCGCAGGTTGAAGAGGCAGAAACGCAAGGCTCGTGATCGGGAGCGTTGGCGACTTTCTGAAGTACTTATGTTGGAGCGTGACTTGATTGCGTCAGCGTCTGCTGGCGAAGGCTCGGCCGCCATCAACAATGACATTAACCAGGAGAGCTCCGTGGGCAAGCTGACCGTCGGTGGCGAGGCGACAGATGAACATGGAGCGGGGCCTGGACTTGAGGCAGTACCTGATGAGGATGCTGGAGGCTCACACGACGAAGTTGCTCAGGATGGTGATGCTCGCGAATGCGCTGGGTCTACCAGCGATGGCGTGGGTGCTGGTTATGAGGATGTTCTTCGTGAAGTTTTCAGCGTTATCGAGAAGTTGTCGGGCAGTTTCGGCCTTGACGAGTCGGTGATGAATAGTTGGGTCACGGCGATGATGGATGGCAATATGACGAAGGACGAGCTGTTGTCAGAGGTCCTCGGCGTCTTGAATGCCTCTGCGTCTCGCACCCCTCATCGTGCGGCTTGACTTCTTCCTGTTTTCCTCCAGCCAGCTGGTTGTCGTAACGGCGCTGGGGGTCCTGCAGGTCTTCAGGTGGGTGCATCCTCTTACCTCTCTTCCCAGAGCCTTCTAGTCCGTCCGCGAGCCTAGTTGGTTTGGCCCTACAGCAAAAAAAAAAACCCTCTTGCCGCATGGTGGGTGTCTGGGGGCCGTTGTGGGGCCGTCTTGGCACCGCCAGGTCGCCTAGGATCCCACGGAACACGGGAGGCCCTCTTGGATGCCTCTTGGGCCAGCTTGGTGCCCTCTTGAGGCATTTTGAGCTGATGGCAGCCCGAAACGGCGAGACTGCGAAAATCATTCAAAGACCCACGGGGGAAATTGATGTTGGTTTCTTCTGACCCGGTTGGAGGTCCTCTAGCCATTTTGGGCCCTCTTGTGGGCATATTGGGCCGTCTTGGATCAATATTCGGCCACCTTGGGGCCATCGTGTGCCGTCTTCAAGGCATCTTAAGCCATCTTTGTGTCTTTGGTTGCCTGCACGGGCCGTCCTGCAAGGTCGGGAGGCATACCCATGTCTTAACGAGGGATCGTTGCTTGGGAGGCCCTGGAGCGCTTGGGAGCAGCGCCTGGGACTGCGGGAAGTGCGCGATCCTTGAGCGGGTGTGCGTGGGATGACGGTTTTAGAAGCCATGCGTGAAGTGCACAATCCTCGAGCGGGCGTGCATGGAATGAGGTTTCAGGCATTAAATGCCATGCGGTATGTGCACCATACACGAGGGAGGAGTCTGCTGGTAGAGGGAGGGGCGGTCCCTCATCAGAATTCAAAAAAAAAAACCCACCAGACAGACCTTGGCATTCTTCCACGCCTCGACCAGCCAGGGGGCACGGTGGCGGATTGCGCAGCAGACGGAAAGAGGCGCCCAACAGGGCCCCCAAGAACGTCCGAAGCTTTTGAACAATTGTCGTTTCGCTCGTGGGAGGGGGCTCCGAATCTGCATCATCTTAGAGTCGCTCCCAGAGGGTGTCAAGACGACCCTAAAGAACCACAAAAGGGTCCTAGAGGACACAAAGAGGTTCCAACGAGGAAACAAGAGGGGTGACGCCTATCCACGTGGCCGGATGGATGCATGTACGGCTGGTTGTTGCCTGCGCGCGCAGACGAGGGGTGGCTTCGCGAACAACGGAGAGGCTCCCAGCAGCGCCCTGGGAGGGCCCCCAGATGGCCCAAGACAGCCCAAGGGAGGGCTAAGACGGCCTGAGAGAGCCCCCGCGTAAAATTGAGACACGCCCAGAGAACCCAAGAAGACACCAGTAGCCCCAAAGAGGACCCCGACAGGCCCCCTAGAGGCCCTCAGAATTCCCCGAGATAGCACAGGCGGCCCCAACAACCCTCAGGGTAACCTCGAACTGATTACAAGGACCCACCCCTTTTTCGACGTCCTTTCCCTCGGACTCCTCACCGTCCTCCTCCGTCGTCGTCGTCCTTCTCCTCCTTTTCCTCCTCCGCTTCGTTCCTCGTGCTCGTCCTCCTCCATATGTTCCTCCTCGTCCTTGTGCTTGTTTTCCTACTCGTTGTGCTCCTGCTTCCCTCGCTGCCCTCCCCGTCATCCATGGTGTCATCCTCGTCATCCGCTGCCTTGTCTTCGCCATCATCATTATTGTAATGGCCTCCGGCCAGTGCCGCCGATCCGGGGGGCTCCGGATTCGGTGATCTTAGAGTCGTCGGGGACGCTGTTTGGGAGGGAGGGCGCTTTTGGAGTCGTCGGGGACGCTTTTTGGTGCTGACGTGCCCTCTGGCGGGGTGCCTGGAGCGGTCCCGGGGGGGTCCGGGGAGGGTTCGGAGGGGAGGGTCCTGTCCTGGGGGCGGTAGCGGCTAGATCTGAGGGACCCCCCGAAACATCTTGGGGATGCACAAATCAATAAGAAAACGACAGATAGGGGACCATCCCCCCCCCCTCTCCCCTTCCCGGGGGGCGGTCCAGGGAGGGTTACGAGGGGAGAGTCCTGGGGTGGGGTCCTTGGTACCCCCCAAAACATTTTGGGGATGCGCAAACCATTAAGGAAACGCCAGATGGGGGACCGCCCCTCCCCCCTCCCCCCCTACCCCGGCAGAGCCACCCCGGCGACCCCCCCCAAGCAGAGCTGAAGTTCTTGCTTAGGCTCAGAGCTGAAGCTCTTGCTGAGACTCCTTGTAGTTCACACGCCAGATCGGCGGATTTTTCTCCTCCCCCCTTACCAGACCACTGGACAACAGCGGCGCTTCCCGTTCTTGTCCGATCAGGCTTCCTTTAGACCTCTCATTCATCATCATTAATCGCTCGCGTTGCTTTCTGTAAGTGTCTTTTTAATAACTGGTTTCGGCTCAAGGTAGATTTGGCCCCGCAGGTTCCCCTCAAGCCCACTAGAGCAGCACCTCTCCGAGTTGCATATCGCCGCTTCTGGAACCATGTCAGGCATGTACGTTCTGGGCGGCATCATTGCTGTGCTCGTTTTCCTGGTTCTCCGAAACAACCTCAGGCACAAGCGTGCTGGCGACACTGGGTTCTTCCGCTCTCTCTCGCCTTGGGAGGAAGGGAAAGAGATCAAGCCGGCGGTGAAGCAACAATTTATGTTCTGGGGAGGCGTGATGGCAGGCATCTCGTCGGCAGCAATCACCCACCAACTCGATGTGATGAAGACATGCCGGCAAGTTGGTAATCCACTTCCTGAGACCTTCAACGGTTACTTGGTCGGCATGGTGATGGGCTCTGTCGCTCAGGGAGCCCGCTTCGGTGTGACGCTGGTGTTGAATGCCACCCTGCAGAAAAAGCTCGATTCTTGGGAGAAGAACTTCAAGAAAGGCTCATGCGCGCAAGTAGTCGTGGCTTTCTGCTTCAGCATGCTGGCGGGTGGCATTGGCGAGATGATGACCAATCCGTTCGGTGTGATCAAGAACTATCAGATTGCCAACAACGTCGGTATCGCCGCTGCCGCACAAAGCCTCTACGAGCTCGGTGGCATCGGGCGCTTCTTCAATGGCATCGGCTTTGGTGTGTTCCGCAAGTCAGCCGCTAATGGCATCATGTTGCAGACTATTGGGCACGTGAAGACGTTCCTGAAGAAGGCATCGCCCGATTGGCTGGGCAAGGACTCTGGAAAGGCTTCCCTGGGTTTCATCTCTGGCAGTCTGACTGGCGCTTTCGCGGAGGTGATGACCAACCATCCCGATCAGGTGAAAACCATGACGCAGACTGGTGTTCCCATGATGGACGCGCTGGTCATTGCCACGAAGAACCCCTTCCGAGGTGCGCTTTGGGCTGGCATCCGCAAGGGCGCTATCCGTGGCATCAATTGGGGCTGCCTGGAGATCTTCATGGCCATGATCGAGAACAGCTACAGGAAGTTTAGGAAGATGGCCGCCTCCTCCACGAAGACGGGCGATCGGGTGTCCGAGTTCACTCGCGAGACTACGCCCATGTGAAGCGTCCTTGCGTGTCCGTCGGCTCTGGCAGCTTTAAGAATAGCATCTGGTCATTTGTGAGGTCTTCTTCAGCCTCCTTCTCTTGTTCCTCTCCGCCTATACGCACGCTGGCGCGTCAAGTGGCGAGATTGGCACAAGGCAGCCAATCGCATCAGACCGTGACGCAGTGACGGCCAAGACCGAGTGGGTGTTCTCCCACGGGCCGACGGGCCACCTGTCTCCGCCCCAGACTGGGGAGCGCTGCCCCTCTGCACACTCCGTTCCCCTTCAGCTCCGGGGAGTGGGAGGGAGGAGGAGGAGGAGGAGGAGGAGGAGGAGGAGGAGGAGGAGGAGGAAAAGGTCGTGCGCAACCGGGGGCATCTCGTATAGCGGGGCGCCCGAGATATTTTTTCGCGCAGGCCCCAACCGGGAGCCCCGAACGTCTGAGCACCCCAGAGCCCAGGAGGATCGCGAGCTCGGGCAAAAAGAGGGAGTGGCCAGCCCCGCGCAGAGGGGAGCGGGGGGAGGGCGGAGGGCTTCTCAGAAGCACCCCTGGTTCTTAGACGGCGTGGGCCTTATCATTAGATGCAGGGCTTGCGCCTTCTGAAAAGCAGCCTCCTCCTCCCAAGAAGCCTTCCCCTCGCCCTCCACCCCCTCGTGCGCGCCGCCAAGCGAGGGGGCACGACGAGGCCCCGGTGGCCCAAGAGTTGACGTGAGAGCGCTATGGAGGAGCCGCGGCCCTCGTGGCGGAAGTACGCATCGAAGACACCCAAGGAGGAGGCGGATAAAAGGAGGAGGATGAGAAGGAGGAGGAACAGGAGGTTTGGCGGGAGGTGGCCAGCAGGGCGAGATGCCGCTCGACCCGGGGGCCCAAGGCCGCGCGAGCTGGCTCGGCTCCAGACGCCTTGTCCGTCGCTTGCAGCTGCAGCCCCCCTAGGCCCTAGGCCTCTCCTCTTGCTGCCACTGATGCTGCTGCTGCTGCTCCTCAGATTCTCCGGCCTTCACCTCGTGCTGCTGCTACTGTTACATACCAGAGTATTGCTGCTCCTTAGATCCCTGGTCATCTCCAACCGCTGCTGCTCTGCTTTGGTCGGAGAGTACAGCCTATCGCGGCACCTCGGACCAGCAACCACTACTCATTCCCTCTCTGGCGCGGGGTACATGGAGTACGAGTGCGCGGACAGCGTCTTTACGGGAAGTTCCACGTGTAGGTGTTGAACGATCTATCGAGCGGTTCGGTGAGGCTATGGCTGCAGTCTACCGGAGCGAAACATGTGGCGTCCGTCTAGGTTTTATACTATGGCCGTGCCTTTTCTGGTGCGCGCGTTGTGCCGTCTCTGTTGCGTTATCGCTCGCTACGGGCTTCAAGTGCTCTCCAGCTCCAGCATGTACCCTTCATTTCATTGGCCTCGCTTTTGTCGCATGGTTTCGGAAGCTATCCAATGTGCTGCGCTGTGCTCCTCCTTTCCCTCCTCCTCGCTCTCAGCCTGTCCCTCCTTGTCCTCCTCTCCCTCCTCATCCCCCTCATCCTTCAACACCCCCTCCCCCTAGTCTCCTCATGCTCTTCATTTTTGCTCCCCCTCCTCCTATCCCTCTTTACCCTCCTTTTCTCATGCCACTTCTACTGGTATTGCTACTGACCGCTCGCTCGCTCGCTGAGTAAGGCCAAGGGACCACGGCTTGTGCAGATAGGAAAAGAGAAGCGGGAGACAAGCAACAACTTTCAGGCGACGAGGACCCGCAGACCCCGACGCAGGACAGATCCCATGCCAACGCACCCACCCAAGAGAGCATGGGCGGGAGAAGGGGGGTGCGTAAGCCCAGGACTGGGGCCCCCTGGAGGCACCCGCCTGCCAGTGAACGCCCCAGACGGCGGGGCCCACCCGGGCCCAGCCGAGGAACAGGGGCCAGGACTCCGAGCCGAGCCCAGCAGGACCGCACCGTGCTGTCGGCCTCAATGCTTCGCGGGGCCCCGCCTTGGCTCCCTCGGGCGGCGCTGGCGGCGCTGCCCACTCTGCTCACACAGACCGTGCAGACCCGTGGTCGCTTCAATGATCATGGTGCGAATCTGGTGTGGGTGATGCCGGAGAGTGCCTCATCGGCTTGGATATGCTGGATGCGGAGCGCAATTCCAGGCTGGCCCTCGTCGGCTACCGTGGCATACATCCGATTGAACAACGTGTTCATTCATTTTCATGTCAGCGTACTGGAACTTTCTTGCCTTGTCGCAGAAAGCGCGTGTAAGGCAGCTGTTGTAGCGCTTGCCGATGATCTCCACGTTCTCGGCCTCCCTCGAGGGCTCGTCGAAAGGGTTAAGCAACTTTGTTCGCAGGCGATTTTTCTCCCCCCCGAGTTCCACCCCGAAAAGTTCGGCCGCCGCTCAGACAAGGGGGGACGATTTGGGATACACTCCTGAGGGGCTATTCGGAAGCACCCTTATCAAATATGGACGCCCCCACCCCAATCGTATATCCCAGAGTTGGGCCCAAAATTTTGGGTCCAAACGAACGCTCCCGAAGTCGAGGATGGGGGTTGCCCCACCCCTCGTTATTCTCTACCGCTCTAGCTGGACGTCGCACGGGGCCTAAGGAGCCTCATTCCTTCGTCCCTCTCGGAGGTGGCCACCCTGCGGCGCCGCGTCCTCTCGGTGTCATAGTTGGCGACTGGGCGGCTCCTGCTCGGGGGCGATGGGAGAGGCTGCACCACCGATGCCCTGTTCGGGGGCAGCACTGGTCTCGCACTGGGGGTCTCCCTGGGCCAGTGGTGCGGGAAACGCTTGCAGAACGCAGTGGTTGATATTCTCGGGCGCGACGCAGCGCGCAATTACAGAGTCGCTGGCCAGAACCACCAGGGCTCGGGCATCGGGGGGACGCTGGTGGAGCAGTGGGGTGTTCTGGCGGTCGAAAAGCATTTGCGGGCGTGCCGGGTGTCAACAACTCCTTGCACAGGGGCAATAGAACAATTGCAACACTCAGGAACTGCACAAGACTAGCAGAAGACAATGCATCGCCAAGGCCCTGATCAGGTGCAGCGGAAGAGACTACAACACAACGGCCCTAAAGACCCTGCTCAGGGGCAATAGAAGAGACTGCAACACCATGGCCCTGCACTGGGGCAACGGAAGACAATGCATCATCAAGGCCTTGGCCAGGAACAATACAAGAGATTGCATCCCTGGCCATGAGGCCCTACCCAGGGGCGACAGAAGAGACTGCATCACCATAGCCTTGCACAGGGGCAGTAGAAGAAACTGCGCCACCCAGGCCCTGCTCAGGGGCTTCAGAAGCGAATGGACTGGCAGTAGCACTCTGATAGTCAGGTACACATGCAGGAGCGTTCTGGCGGAGAGGTGCAGGGCGGCAAATTCCAGGATGATGATCTGGATCGGCGTCGCGGCGGTCTTGATGTCCAGCATGCTCCTCGACCTGCGACGGCTCTCCGTGGCCTGCATCAGGCGCAGCCCTTGGTGCCGCCGCCACGGGACCTCTGGGAGCCTCCGGGGCTTGCTGGGGCGTGGTGGCGAGGTGGGTCGGCCGGCACCCCCTGTGGGTGAGGTCGCCGGACGCGCAGGTGAGCGCTTGCACGGCCCGCGCCTGGGCCCGGCCCGCCTGGGCGCGGCGCCTCGCCCCTGAGCGCCGGGGCCGCTGCGGGCAGCCATCTGCCGAGAGCCGGGGCGGAAGGGGCGTGCCTGCGGGTGCCAGAGGGGGGCAGGGCGGCGGGCCGACATGCAGCTCGGCGCTGGCTCGCAGGGCGCTGGGCCTGCGCGGAGCCGTGGCTCTTGAGCCAAAGTGGCTCCGGTCATCGCTGCTGCTGCTTCTTCTCCTCCTCCTCTTCTTCTTATTGCCTCTCTCACTCCCCCCCACCTTCGAACGGGAGGCTTTGTCAGTTCTGCTGGCTCACCCGTCGCGTCGGACTTGTTGAAAATTCGTTGCTTCCCTGCGGGGCCTGCAACCGTTGTTTGGCGCGGGGGGTCTGAGTTTGTGGGGGTCCTCGGACTCTCCAGCCATGCCGAACGTGGTGACGTGCACTTGCCCCCAGAAGGCCTTCGGAGGTTTCGGAGGGTTCTGGGGCGAAGAGCACTCGGAGGAGAAGGAGAAGGCGGATACGGAGGGGGGCGATGAGAAGGATCTGGAAGAGGAGGAGGAAGAAGATAAGCAGGCATGACGGGAAGAGACTGAGAAGCATTAGCTGAAGAGGGATACCGCCCCGCGGTAGACGTCGCGTTTGTCGTCGTTGCGGACATCGCGTTTCTCTCCAAGTTCAGGGCGTTCGCAGGGCCGGCGTCGGTGCCGGTTCGCACAGCAAGAGCAGGAGAAGGGAGTGGGTGGTGGGCGGTGGGTGGCCATTGCAGAAGGGAAACAAGTCCCGAACAGCGAAACACTCACCACGACCACGACGACGCCGACGACAGTCGACAACGACGACGGAGAGCGAGGCGCACATCCTGTCCGCAACGCAGCACGGTTTCGGGAAAGGGACTCGGGAAAGGGACCACCCTGCGAGGTTCGTTGTGCAGCACATCGTTGAGCGGTGCTGCGGCCTCCCCCTGAGCATAGTCACCCCCGGGAGCAGCAGCCATACCCTCATGCCTTGCTGGGCCAGGGGATGCGTTTGAGCAAATTCTCCCTCCACCTCGCCAGGGCTACCAACAAGGGAGAGGGCGCGGTGGCCGACGCGGCTCAGTGCGTGGACGCGTTCAGCTCCGCGGTTCAGAGAGCCCGGAAGGCAGACACACCGACGGACGGACGGACGGACAGATGGAAGGAGTGACGGACCGACAACCAGGCGGCGTGCAATCTCTAGCAAGCCAAGTGGGTGGTCATTGCAGAAGGGACACGCCCCGATCATAGCAGCACGCACCACGACGATGGCGGAGAAGAGGAGCGCATACAATGCGCACCGCAGCACGGATTCGGAAAAGGGACCACCGTGTGAGGTGTGGTACACAGCAGCACGTTGTTCAGCAGTACCAGCAGCACATTGTTGAGCGGCTCTCTCGAAGCCGCAGCTGATGCTTTACTGATCCCTGGGGCGCGTTTTGGCACCCTCTCCCCGAACCTCGTCAGAGCCACCGACACGGGAGGCCTGCAGTGGCCGACGCACCCCAGTGCGTAGCTGCTTTCACCGCGGCGGTTCAAACTGTCAGGTAAACAGACGGACTCACGGAGCGATGGACGGACAGCCACGCGGCGCGCAATGCTTGGCACGACGCATGGACGGTCCGTGCATTGAGAATGAGCAGGCGTCGGAGGACGAGCAGCGGCGGGAGCATGAGGCGCGGGAGGCGTATGCTCCGGGCGGCACTTGCGATAAGATTTTTGTCTCAAGCGGCATGTGATGTGGGGCGCTTGGCCGCGGCGGCCCCGCCATGCCCCGCCGCTCTGTGCGGGCCGCGTTGCTGCCAGCGGCTTCCGCCCTGGCGGCCGCCCTGCTGTGGCCCTCGGGCGGCGGCCGCGCGCGGGCCCCGCACGGCCGCGGGTGCTTCGCCGCGCGAGCCGACCCGCCCCCCCAGGCGCTCGCCAGCCTTGATGACTCGACGGGCTTCAGGGGCATCCGCACCGTCAGCCCGGTGTTCGGGGAACAGACAGCGGCACACACAACAACTCGGTGTCCGCGCAGATTTCTCCGATCGGCGCTGGAGCCCTCTGGCTGCGCCTACGGCGCGGCCCCTGGCGCGCTCCGTGCGCCAGGGAGGGGGTCCAGCGCCGATCCGAGAAAACCGCGCGGACCTCCGAGCTGTTGTGTTTCTGTCCTTGTCTGTTCCCCCAGGAGTGGGACAAGCCCGGCCGCCGCGGCTCGTGGGAACCGCCGCAGGGTGAGGAGTTCTCCCTGGAGCATGTCCCCGCATCGGAGCGGGACGCGGTCGAGATGATCGACGGCGGGCCGACCCCCCCTCCCTCCCCCCCCCCGGCACGGCTGAACCGCGGATGAGAGGGGGATGTGGGACGGCATGGGAAGGGAAGTGGGGTGGGGGGAGGGGAGGAGGGACGGGGAAGGGGGAGGACGAAGGGGGAGGAAAGAAGGGGGGAAAAGGACAAGCTAGGTGCGCTCGCGCCATATCTCACCTCCTATCCCTCCCTCCCATTTCTTCCCACGGCGCTAATATTCCCTCTATCAGCGGACGCGTGTCATAGCCGACATGGTACGCAAGATACGACCCCATGGTGTGATGTGCAATCGAAAACGGGATCTGCGTACATCGGAGGGGGAAGAAAAGGTGGCGGGTGAGCAAGGGGGAAGGAGGAGGAAGATGGGGAAAGAAGATGGCAAGGACGAACAGCAGCAGGAGGAATTGGAGAAGATAGAGTGGGAGAAGCAGGAGAACCGGGGGAAAGAGGAGGAGGGGAAAAGAGGGTGGCGTCGACAACGATGAAAACGGACTCGGATTCAGAAAAATGACCCGCGTTGGAGCGAGAGCGCCACTCTGAACCACGGGAGCAGAACGCTGGTCAAAAAATGAGTCCCACGCTGCAGCGGGAGCACCAATTTGAAACACCAAACAATCGGATTGCAAAGTCATGGAAAAACCGTGTGTAACCTTGAGATTGGACGGCTGCTAAATGCACAGATATGCACAGACATTGACTCCACAGTCCGGGCGGCGGTGAAGGCGAAAGACACAGGAAAGAAAGGCAGGAAACACAAGTGTGTTCACGATGTTTTCTTCAGCACGAGGTGCCACCGGAACGTGTCTGAGTGTCTCTTTACATCAACCGATCTGCCACGAGCTTGCTCTGCACCTGCGCCCCGACATTCGGGCCGGGCAGAGATTCCACCATGGGTTGGATGGGCCACTTCCGGACCCTTGGGAGGGCTCAGCGAGCAGGGGAAAAACGAATGAGGTTTCCCCTGCATCCCCAACAAACCAACAGTTTGGCAATACATTGCGAACCTGAGCGTTAGCGGTCGGCTAAAACATTCAGCAAAAATTGATACGCACAGAAATTGACTCCACAGGCTGGGCGCGGTGGAGGCGAAAGCCCCAGGAGACGAAAGGTAGGAAACACAAGCGGGATCACGATGTTTTCTGCAGCACGAGGTGCCTCAGAACATGTCGCGTGACTCTCTCTGCATCAACCGATCTGCCAGGAGCTTGCTTTGCAACTCCGCCGGCCTTGGGACCATCAGCTCAGGCAGCATGGAGTGTGGCGACGTCCCTGGCCTTGGCGACCGAGACGCCCTTGGACTGCTCGGCCGAGTCGTAGGGGTAGCCGCGGAGGGCCTGCGAGCTCCGCCTGCCCAATTTTTTGACGGCCGCGACGTCCCCCAACGAATACCATAGTGCTGATGCGCCGCCGATGCGCAGGGAGTGCGACTTGAACCTGGACGGCGGCAGGCCCTCGGCCGCTGCTGCCCGCTGCAGCGCGGCCTGCAGCTGCTCTCTCCTGACCACCGTGCCACTGCTCCAGCGGTAGAGTGGACACCTGCCCGCCTTGTTGCCGACCGCAACTCGTGCAGCCAGGGCGTAGGCAGCGCAACCCAGACCTCGCCGAGCCACGGTGCCGGGCCCGTGCCGAGCTTCGCCGTGTGTGACGTTCCACCGAGCTGCACCCGAGCTTTCTGAAGAAGCCCGCACCAGGGCCCCACTCGAGGGCGCGTCCTGGAGCTGCTGCCTTGGGGACCTCTCGGAAACGCCGCCGTCGGCGTGCTCCGCGAAGCTGCGACGCGATTTGCTCGTCGTCGGCGTCGCATCCAAGATGCCTCAACACGCAGCGGCGGACCCCGTTCGCGGCGAGGTCGGGCTACTTCGGCGACCCGTCGACCGCCGCGAGGCCGAGCTCGACCATCTGGGCGTGAACCTCCTGTTGGGTGGCCGACGTCCGCCGTGACATTGTGACAGGAGCGGAAGAAGTGGACCCCACGTTGCGAGGTTGTATTTGAACCCGAGGTGGTAGAGGGTCCTGAGGAAGTGACGCACCAGGCGGAGTAAGGGGCGCCGCGTCTTAGCCATGTTGCCCGCGGCGAGTTGGACGATCCTGCCGCTCCAGCTCGGGGTCTGCTTTCCTGCACGCACGATGAAGACCACCGCTTCGCTGAACGATCGCCACCTGGGGGTCGTCAGTGTCGCCCAAAGCTTCGGCCATCATGCCGCTGTAGTCCTTGAGGTCCTGCCTGTGGTAGACCTCCTGGGCCCAGTCTGCTCCGAAGGCGCGCGCGCGTGTCACCGTGCCTCAGAGCAGGCCGCCGAAGCTCCCAGGTCCGCCACCGCTCGCGTTCCACACCCTCGTCCTCCTCGTCATCCACGGACGAAGTGGCGCCGTCAGTGCCACGGGCTCGATCTCCGACGCCTCCGGCAGGCACCTGGGCGAGAGTCGATGGCCCAACGGGACCGCTGGCGATGACTTGCCCCCCTCGGCATGCTTCCGACGCCGCCGCCACCGCCACGGAGGCCCTCAGTTCGCGAAGCGAAGCGCCCGGTACAGCAGTCCAACGAGACAAGGCGCGCGGTGAGACGAGGCCACATTCAAGCTCAAGGGCTTCTCCGCTTCCCGCTCGCGCCCGCCATCTCCGCGCAGACGCCGCGCGGCAGCCATGTCTCATTTTCGGCTGGTGCCTGCCAGTAAGGCGCTCGCAGTTGCACCGAGCCCGCCGAGCGCGCCACCTCTTCCAGAAGCTTCGGCCAAGGCGCTCTTAGAGGACGCTCTGCCGTTCACCGATCTCGACGAAGAGATTGTGGATTTCGTGTGCAACTGGCATCGTGCAGATCCGGTGCCAGAACAGGTGTTCCGCCGCAGCTAGTCAGCTCAGCACCGGCATCGTGGATCCCGAGCTTCGCGCAGGGTTCACACTCGAAGCGCGGAGGGCCCACGTCTGGACACATAATGCGAGGCCCGCGTATGCGAACGCCCCGCTGGGCATCGCGCCCGCGATGTTCACGACGAAGCTCTACCATCCTTGGAGTTCGTGGGGCCCTCTGCAGCGGGGCGAGTGCGGGCGTTACTGGGCGCTTGCAGACGTCGGGCCAAGGTCCGGATTCGGCCAGGATCCTTTGGCCGCGTTCGAAGACACATCGCTTGGCACACCTTGGTCCAAGAGCAGGCCGCCTGGCTGCGAGCGGCCGGCGGCGTGTCACCGCGTGCGCTGCCTTCCCTTCCGCCCCCAGGTGAGCTCGCGCCGCGCGCTCCACCTCGTCGCCGCCTCTCGCCGGAGGATCAGCCCCAGTCGCCTTCTCGCGAGGCTGAAATCGACGAGGCCAGCGTGGCTCGCGGCTCGGGCCGGAGACCGACATTGCCTCGCCCGTCGACTTCTCGCCCGTTCAGGACGGGGGCCGGGGCCATGGCTCCCATCGTCTCTCGAGGACGCGCCGCGGTGGTAGTTGGAAAGGGCAAAGGCATGAACATGGACGAGAGCGACACACCCCGGACGCCGACCTCCCCAAGAAGAAGAAAAAAACGCAAGGTTGGGGAGAAGGCGAAGCGCCGGCGCGCCGGCGCGGCCTTCCGCGCGGCGCCGACGAGCCGCGGCAGGGGCAGCGCCGAGCCCGGCGCGCTCAGCGAGGAGGTCGCATGCGGCGGTCGCGATCGGAGCGGCTCTCGCAGACCGCGGCCGCGGCGAAGCCGCGAGGCGAAAGTGCCCAGATAGTGCGCATCCCTCAAACTCCATATCCATCCATTACAATTTCTCCCATTTACCAGGTCGAGGCACTGCGCCCCCGCCTCGCCACCCACCTGTCCCCGGGGCCATCGCCTTGCCCAAGTCCCAGGGCAGGCTTTCTGACGATGCGTCTGCGGCCCGAGGTCGCCGACATCGCGCGATGGGGGTGCGCGCGCGAAAGTGTTGTGCCCATCGCGCCTCGTCGCTCCCCTTCGCTTCGCCGACGCCTCTGGCTCTCCAGATCAACCGGGGAGTTTGACGGCGCGCATGGGGCGCGGCGGGCTTGCCCACTGGCAGTGGGCGACCCAGACCATCCTCGCCTCCCTGTCCGAACTGCGCCGGCTCACGCCCGAGGCGAACGAGCTGGCGGCGGTCGGGGCCAGCGCGGAGGCTGTGGCCACCTCGGCGCTCGAGCGCCCGCGGGAGCGGAGCCCGCCACCCCCGCCGCCGCGGGCGGCGACGCGTGTCGAGGGCCAGGAGGGCGGCCAGGGCTTCGTAGTCCCCGGGCGCCGCTGCGAGTGCAGCGAGGCGGAGGAGGACGGGGGCGGCTGGGTCAGCATCCTGCTTGGGCCGCCGACGTTCGGGCTGCAGACGCGCGCCTGGCCGCGAGGTCGTCGCGAGGATGGCGGCGCTGCCGAGGGGGTCGAGTGGCGCGAGGCTGGCGCTGGAGACGGGGCTCGCAGGTACCGAAGAGGATATCTCGCCTAGGCTTCGGCCAGGGCAGACGGTGGCGGTGAAGCACGCAGAGGAGGCCCTCTGGCACGAACGACTGTTGGTCGGCACGAGCGCCGAAGAGTTGGGGGCGCTGCCTGGCTGGAACTGGCGCATCGCCACGCCTGGCGGCGATGAGTATGAGGAAGCGTTGGACGGCAGCCAGCCTGGGCCACACCGGCTCGTGATGCTTGCGCTGGACGGTGGCCCCCCCAGAGTGCTGCGCGGAAAATTCCATCGGTTCAGAGAGCACCCGGCCGACGAGCAGCTGGCGCGAAAGGCGGTGGAGCACTACCGCTTGCAGGCCATGGCTGGGGCCCCGCAGCGCTTGCCCGAGGATTGCGTGGCCAGGGCTGGAGAAGTAGCACCGTGGCCCGACGATGCCCGCCAAGAGATGGAGTCGGCGGTGGTGTCGCACGACGGCGGTGGGGGCGGTGGGGGCTCAGAGGCCCCGCGTCCCTTTGGTCGGGTGGCGACTGGCTGGTGCTGGATCGCGTTCGAGTTCGAGGAGCCCGGGGCCGTCGGGGCGATCGTGGAGCCGGCGGAGGGCGCGGACGTGCCGGCGGGCTCCCGCGCGATGCTGAAGCAGCACGCTGGCGGATTGTACGCGAAGTGCTTGCTGGTGCAGAAGTCCGAGGTGGATGCCCGCGTCCGCGAGCACCTCGACCTGGCGACGTCGGCGGTGAGGCCCACGATGCATGAGAGCGACGCTGGCGGCGGGAAGGGCACGGACACCCCAGTCGCTAAGCCCCCCGTCGCCACTGCCGAGGACTGCCGCACCTTGTGGGTGGACTTTGATCCGCGAGGCGAGCGGTTCAAGGAGTGGAGGCAGGTGTGTCTCGAGTCTCGCTCGGAGAAGTGGGGTGGCGGACCCGTAGAGGGACCTGCCTCGCTGCTACATTGGAAGAACCAGACCTCCCGCAACGTTGGCGATCCAAAGATCTGGCTGGCGGAGTTCTGCCGCGACCGTCGAATCGAGAAGACTGACAGAGTGTTCCATGAGCTGCGCAACCTGATCGAGGTGGTGTACATCGGGGGCACGCATGACCAGCTGATTATGCCAGCCCTGTAGAGCTTCGAGCGCATCGGCCGTCGGATCGCCACTATCGTGGGCGCCTACAGCGGCACGGGCACGCCGTCGCGGCGAATGGCTCGGCCCTATTAGGGCGTCGCAGGGGTGCTTGACAGCGCGCCCCCGGCCCGTCGGCAGCGGGGCATCAGGAAGGCAAAGGGCGATAACGAACTGAACGCGGCCCGCACGCGCAACCTGAAGGGCGGGGCCGACGACGAGGACGATGGGGCTGGCGGTGGCGAAGGAGACAGGGCGGAGGGCGGCGGCGGCAAGAACCCGGAGGGACGTGGTCGCGGCTCCGCCCAGAAGTCATGACGGCTCTTGGGGGCCTGGGGATCGCTCCCGACCCGGCCCCCGCGCGCGCGGGAGCTGGCCGCGCCGCCGCGCCAAAAGGCGTCAGGGACCTCATCCCCTTGCCACGCGAGGAGATGCCCGAGCGCCATGTCGGCCGTGGAGGGCGGAGGCTGCAAAGGTGGCAGCGTCGACGCCGAGAGAGTGAAATGGTTGACAGCGCCGCTCAGGCGCTTAATTGGATGCACGGCTCCGCCCTCGGTCGGGCACGTCGTCCAGGGGGGGCCCGACAACGTTCAGCAGGATGTCCTCGCGTGCGTGCATGGACTGGCCCACTGGCCCACGGCGAGCAGCGCGCGCGCAGGCATCTCGAAGCACATTTCACGCAAGTGGCCCCGCGGGAGTTGCTGCGAGGTCGATCCCTGTATGGGGCGGGGGCGACCAACGACTCACTGGCGCCCTTCCAGCAGGGCCGACTGTCGCTGCCAGACTCGGCGGAGGGCCCCCTGTACATTGGCGACGTCTGCGGCAGGCGCGGCCACTACTTTCTGGAGCGGGAGGGCGAGCGCATGTTTGAGCCCGTCGCCGAGGTCGCAGCCGATCTCGAGCGCGACGGCACTCGCTGCTACTTTGACCCTGCTCTGGTGAAGCGCAAGACAGTGCGCGTGACTTGTTTGAAGGATCTGATGTCCCGCGGGCTGCTCGACTTCACGCTCGAGTCGCTCGAGAACGTGGGCATCTTCTGTGCATGGAAGAAAGGCCGCGAGCGGCAGCGTCTGATTTTGGACGCAAGGCGATCCAATCAGTGGTTCGGGCGGCCGCCCAGCGTGGACCTCATCACCGCGGAGGGGCTCAGCAGCATCGAGTTCGATGTGGGCCCGGATGAAGAGCTCGACGACGACCCGGCGACGTCCTTGTCCGAAAGGCTCTCCGTGACGGTGGGCGTCGCCGACGTGAAGGACGCGTTCCACCGGCTGGGGATGCCGCCTTTCTTGCGACGCTACTTCTGCTTCCCTTCGGTGCGCAGCGGCCCAGTTGGCCTGGCGGGGCAAGTCGTGAAGGGCGTTGTGCTGACCGGCAATGAGCAGGTCTGGCCTTGTCCCGTCGCCTTTCCCATGGGCTTCTCCTGGAGCCTGTTCTTCTGCCAGGTGTCTGGCGAGGAGCTGGCCTGCGCTGTGCCGCCGCTTAGCCCCGAGAGCCTCCTGCGCGACCGTGGGCGGCCTCTGGTGCTGGGATGCGAGCGGGGGGAGGCTCTGCGCCACTACATCTACGTGGACAACAGCGGGACTGCGGGGGCGGAGTCGGGGCAGGCCAAGTCTACCCTCGACGGTGTGACCAAGGCTTTCATGCAGAAGGGGCTGCTGCTGCACGAGCAGGCGGTGACCTCGGTCGTCTCCGAGGTACTGGGCCTCGAGATGGACGGGCAGCTGATGCAGACCCGAGCCTCGGGGAAGTGCCGGCTGCGCGCGCGGCAGGCTATCGCAGGGCTGCCGCAGCGCGGCCGCTGCTCGGGGAGCGCTCTGGAGGTCCCGCTGGGCCACCTGACGTTCTTGGCGTTGGCTCGGCGGCCCGTGCTCTCTTGCTCTCACTCGCGCTATGCTTTTGTTCAGAAGAACTATTTAGTCAGTGCGCGTTTGTCTCCAAGCGTGGTTGAAGAGCTCCAGGTGTTTGCTGGTTCGATAGCTTTCTCGTGCAGCGACTGGGCTCGGCCATGGAATTGGCTTGTTGTCGCCTCAGACGCCCCCGAGTTCGGGCGCGGAGGAACTGAGGCGTGGTGGCCGCTGGAGTAAGTGCAGCAGACAGGCAGGAGTCGTGAAAGAGATAGGTTTTTTGTCCCCGAGGCTGTGAATGCTTGTGCGTCGGCCTTGGGGATCGAGGACGTCTGCGAGAGGTTGTCTAGGACTTGGTAGGTAGTGATGGGGCCACGGGGCTCCGAGCAGCGCTCCCCCCTGTCATCCAGGACGTGGGCCCCGAGTTTTTGGAGGTGCCCAGGAGCGGTCTCGATCCTGGACTCTGGCGCCCGACTTTTTGGGACCCTTGGCGTTGGAAACAGGGGATCGTGCACCTCGAGGCTCGGGCCTTGGTTATGAACATCCGTTGGATTGCCTTAGTTTCATTCGGCCGTAACTTGCTACAGCTTCTCTTAGTGGTAACATGGCCGTATGCCTCGCCTTCAATAGATGCCGCGCTCGTGATTTTCTCTTGCTGAACCAGGTGCGCCGTTTCTGCGGATACTGTCTGACCAAGAATCTAAACGCAGTGGTGCGCTGGATACCGTCGGAGCGAAACAGTGCTGATGGCCCTTCTCGAATTCACGACCCGAATCGGGGGGTGGAACGCAAGTCCAGGGGGCAGGGCAGTCTCAAGGTTGATCGAGCCAGGACCGACTCTCAAGGGTCGAGTTCGAATGAGGCTGAGGCGCCCGCTCCTCCTTTGCTAACCCATCGTCCGTCATCACCTGGTCGCGTAGCCGTCTTGGCTCAAGCTATCGAGGCTCTCGCCCCTTCTGGTGCCGCGTGTGATTCCGCATCAGCCCCTCCCGAGTCCGCCCTAGCAGTTCTACGGCCGCCGACGGGGCCCCGACGCTCGATGGGGCGGCGGTTGCTGGCGGCGCCAGTGCGGGGGGCGCTCGTGGAAACTGGGGAGACGCCCCGCGCCGCCCTAGCCGCCGAGCCGTCGCCCTCGGGCGTTGCAGCGCCGGGCAGCTCGAGCAGCACTGGCGCCGCATCCGAGGGCGCCGTGGCGGTGGCAGAGGGTCGCGAGAGAGCGCTCGGGAGACGCCGCGAGTGGCTGGCGCTGGCCCGCGCGGAGGAAGTCTGGGACATGCTCGGCGGGAACGCGGCTCCTCTCGAGCAGAAGGCGGCGCAGTTCAGGTCCCACAAGCAGTGCCAGGGCGAGCTGGGCTATTGGCAGGAGTTCGCGGGTCTCAGAGGCCTCGGGCTCGTGAGCAGCAAAGAGGTGGACGAGATGCTGGGTCGTCTCTTCGGGCGGGACTTCCCCTGGAGAAGCAGGCTCAGCGGGGGGCCAAGCCGCTCGCCATCGCGACGCATGCGGGACCAGGCCTCGGTCGGCACGGCGGTCGCCCAGCAGCAAAGGTCAACGAGATGCTGGCCTGGGGCGAGCCCCGCAGGGCGCTGTCCGTCTTGCTCCCATGGAGTACCTACCTGAGGCCGAGCAGCCCGCTGGCCCCAGACCCAGAGAGTTTCTTGGGGCCCTGCCGGCCAGACGATCGCTGGAGCCTGCTGGCGCGCCCCGCGGGCCACAGGGTGGCCAGCGAGATCAAAGAGTTCGTTGACTCGAAGCCGGGGGGCGGCCGTTGGGTTCATCTCCTGTGCCCCCCCCTGCGTACCCTGTCAAAGCAGATGAGGGACAGGGCGGTCTGGGTGTTCAAGTATTGCGAACTTCTGAAGGCCGCTGCGGAGTGCGCGAAACCCCTGGGTGTCAGATTGGTTCCGTGTCAGACCAGACCCTCGGGGATTTCGAGTAATCGGGGGCTTCAAACACGCATGCTGGGCGAGGTCGAAGCAAGAGTGGCTCGGAAGGCCGATGGCAGTGGGATGAGATACAGGAAGCAGGCACCGCCGTGTCACGGCGAGCCGCGGCGCAACCACGACCACGGCGAGCATCTCCAGGAATGCGCGCAACACTACGCGGACATTATCCCGCAGGCCAGGGCGGTATCCCAATGCGCCTGAAGGTTATGAAGGGCCGCTGGTTCGTCGATCTTTTTTTTCAGGGACTGGCGGCGTCGCGAAGAGTCTCTGGCGGGAAGGGTACCCGCGTGGGGAGCTTGAACTCAAGCAGGGTTTTGATGTCTTACATAAAATATAACGTGTAAGATTGCTGGCCGATGTGAGATCGGGAAAAGTAGCAGGCGCGATGATAGCCTTGCCGTGTACTAGCGGCTCAATCGCTCAGAATGGTAGATTGCGTTCCGAGGCGTATCCTTTTGGGCTCCCGGGTTTAACTTACGAGCTGCAATCTAAGGTCGACCACGGGAACGCCCTTCCATATGCTAGTGTACAGTTGATCAGAAGTTGCGTTACGCAAGGGGTCCCACGGATCCAAGAGAATCCTGGGACGTCGTATGGTTTCTAAGACGCCAGCGGTTCGAGAGCTTTTGGACCTCGGCTGGTGTTTTGAGGTAGTCTGTGATCAGTGCCAATATGGGACCCGTTGGAGGAAACGCACAAAGTTCCTGATAGGTAATATCCGCCGCGAGGATTCCTCGCGGGCTCCAGAGACAGTGCCGATGCAAACGCGGCCTGTGCTCTCGCATTGGAAAAGCGCATTGGCATCTTCAAGGTAGGACAGACGCTGGGGTACACTGGACCGCGATGGCGGCCGAGTACCCCAGACCTCTCGCCCGCGCGTTAGCTTTCTACCTCCTCGCCCCTGTCCGATCCCGACTGCAGTCGTGCCAGTTATCCCAGCTACGCACGGTGCTCACTCACCGCCGATCGGCTCGCTTTTTCAATTCTAGTGAACATCCGTGTTTGGGCTGCTTTGGGGAAACCTGCAGCGGCTGCGCGTTGACGCTGCCTCTGAGTTTCGAGACTCCGCTCAGCGGAAGGCAAAACATGGGGTGCGTGCACGAATTTGTTGCCTATCGCGTCTTGTCGCCCCCCCTCGCTTCGCCGTGCGCTTTGGCTCGCGGCCCTCCCCCCTCGCCTTATTTATTCCCGGCCTAGGCTCTGCCTAGAAGGGTTCTTACTCTCTTGGCTTCAAGGGCCGGGCAGTGGGAACCGGCAAGGGCGGTTCCCCCAGCATCCGCCCCACGATTCCCCCAGCTACGTCCCGTTAGCTTAGCGCTGCTTCCTTCATCTTAGCTTAGCTTATTTCATTTTAGTTTAGCTTAGCTTCATCTTAGCTCAGGTTTATCTTAGCTTAGCTTACCTTCACCTTAGCTTCGCTGAGCTGTAGCAGAGCACAGCGTAGCATAGCATCGCTTAGCACGTCGTAGCGCAGCATTGCGTATCATTACATAGCCCATCATAGCATAGCATAGCGCAGCATAACATAGCATAGCACAGCATAGCGCAGCACAGCACAGCATAGCACAGCGCAGCATAGCATAGCATAGCAGTATGTGTGGGGTAATTCCCGTCGTTGTTTCTATAGCGCAGCATGGGTGTAGTTCCCTACCTAAGCTCTGCCTAGAGGGCCAGCTTAGCTTAGCTTAGCTTAGCATAGCGCAGCGCTGCATTAGCATAGCATCGCATAGCAGAACATATCCAATCATGTCTTAGCATATCATAGCATAGCATAGCGCAGCTTAGCATAGCATAGCATATCATAGCATAACATATCATAGCTTAGCATAGCACAGCTCAACATGACCTGGCATAGCTTAGCATATTATAACATACATTATAATAACATACCGCAACATACCATATCATATCATTGCATAGCATAGCGCAGCATCGCATGGCATATCATATCATAGCATAGCATAGCATAGCAAGTAATGCTGCTTTTCTAGGGGGCTTCAACTTCTAGGTAGGGTCTCACTGGGGTAATGTTTTCTCACTGCTCGTCACCGTCGGTGACTCACCACTGGGGCAACAGGCAGCGGCTGCGCGTTGACGCTGCCTTTGAGTTTCGAGACGTATCTCCGCTCAGCGGAAGGCAGAACATGCATGATGCATCGAGCGGTAGCTCTCGCCATCACCGCGCGCGCGAGCTTCTCTAGCGCTGCTCTATAACGCGCGATCGAGCTCACCGCTGCAGCGGATTGGCCCGCGCGCCTACGCGCGAGCCCGCCAGGTCGGACAGCGGCGGCGTCGCTTTGCCGAGCCTGGAATCTGCTCGTGGCCGGGCAGTCATGGCCACCCTCTTCCTTCGGCCTCCCTCCTGCACCATAGCTGTTCGATCGCCCGCGCATCCCCGATTCAAATTGCAGGGGTCGCCGATGGTTGGCCCGAGCGTCTACGCATGATTATTGCAATGCGTGAAGAGCGACAGTTTCTTCAGATTTGCGTCTTGGCGCCGCCGTGCTGTCTCTCGCTCGGCCCCTGGCCCCCGCAATTATAGTTCCTTCTCTTCTCTTCCTCCTCCTCCTCCTCCTCTTCCATCTCGAGGATGGCAATGTGGGTGCTGCTGGTTTTCGTGGGCGGCGAGAAGTTTCAGTCGGCGGCGCCCAAGTCGGAGCTGGAAAGGGTGGCGGAAGGGGAATTTCAGCGCCGGCGCCGCTGATAAGTTATGGGGGCGCAAAAAGCCCGGGGCAGAGGGCCGGGCCGCGGCCGTCGCTGACGGGCACTTTACTGCGCCTCTGACGTCGTCTGCATCGAGTTCTGTGAGCCGCCCTCGGGGGGCTCACCCCAGGGCAGTCGGGCATCGCAGGGGCGCCCAACAGCGGACGGGCGAAGAGGATGAGACATCTTTCATTTGACGAGAGGATAGCGGAGTCAATCAGCATCGACGTTGACGCCCTCGCTAAACTGAGACGTTTTGCCCCAGATGGTAACGCGCGCACACTGGCCCTAAAGTTCCGAGCAGAACGGGCAGCGGCGTTGCGGAGAAACGCTTCGGGGAGAGACCCCCCGGGCAGCAACCGGCCCCCCCGCCCCTGTCAGCGGCCGACAACGCGTAGACTGGCGACACGATGCTTCTCTTTATCCCCCCACTCCATTTCAGCTACGGAGAGACGGCGGGCGGGGCATTTAGCACGCTGCGCAGCGCGCGCGCAACGTAGAGAGGTGCCGCGGACAGCGGGGGGCAAAATGGGACCAAACTACATGGCGCTACGTGATATCCGGGCCAAATGGGGGATGCACTTCAACCCTCCATCGATCATCTTCGGCCCCCACAGCCAATCTGGCTTAGCGACGGTCCTGGTGCGCAGCTTTGCGCGCTGGCGGGGTATCTCGGAGCGCGGGGCGCGGGGGTCTGCTCATAGCCTTCGCGAGCAGCGGCCAGCCATGGACATGTGGGCGCTGCAACAAGCGGCCCGGGCATTGCGAGATGATCGAGGGCCACAAGGAACGCGTCAAGCATGCGCCCGGGCATGGAACATATCAAGGAGGCAAAGGGAGTCAATGGAAGGGGGCGCGCATCGGCTGCGAGCTGGAGCTGAGGCAGGAGGAGTGGATCAAGTGAAGCGACGAGGATAATATACGACATGGGGGAGAGCAGTACATTACCAGGGCGCAAGTCTGCCGATAGCAGAAGCGGAAAGCGCAAGGGGCCGCGTGGGCAGCCCAGTCCCTGGAGCAGATCCAGGCGGCGAATGCGCCCCTTCAGGCCAGGGAAGGACCGCAGAACAAGTCTCGCAATCAGAGGGGCAATGTGGCCATGGAGAGGTCCAAGGAGATGCCAAACAGGCATTGCTGGAGGGCCGCAAAACAAATGGGGGCATCTTCGCAGCCTTCAGCAATGCAGAGAAGGCGCGGCTGCTTCCTTAAGATGCGCCGAAGAATGTGACATGCTGCCGAACAAGTGAATGGCCATGGGCGCCAAGGGCGAAGAAGCGCTGCAGGCCGAAGGAGTTGGAAGATACAGAGAAGGAGCTGCGCCCGATGGGAGACTGCGAGACGGCGAAGAACATGGGGGAGAAACACACAGCGCACCTCAAGGCGCTGGACATAGTGGACAGGTGGAGCGACAGCATGCAGCTTTTCGACGTCTGCAGGAGGAACGCAGGATGGGGCAAAAGGAAGGGCACCGCCTGCTCGCGCGGACTTGCATTCCCAAACAAGCTGCAGTGGCAAGGCCCCTGTCCCAACTCATTGGGGCCCCAGTGGAAGTTCTGGTGCAAAGTGGACTGGGCGCAGCTCGCGAAGGCGCAGGATAACCATCCAGAAGACGAGCCCATGAAAGAGTGGGTGGACAAAATGAAAGCGATTTCGGCAAGGACAGCGAGAAGTGGCCAGGCATCGGATGTAAAGCGATGTTCCGCCCGTTCAAGAGGGGGCCCCTCTGGCGGTGGAGCCCAAGGCGGGAGGGAAGTGGGAAGCGTTCGCAGCGGAGAGGCATCCGCAGAAGCTAGACGACGCCATCGAGGATAACCGTTGCAGGTTTTACGACGCCGCTCAGAAAAAGAGCCCAGAGGAGCTCCTCGAGCAGATCCCAGTGGCCTTCCCGATGACGCACGAGGTCGACGGATGCGATCTCATCGCAAGGTGCCCGGTGGACGCGCGGGAAAGAGCTGAGAGGAAGGCCTACACTGCGCAGAGCCTGCGTTGTGAGGCGGCGCTGAGGATGTCCATGGAGGTCGACATGGAGGAGTTGAGTAACAAGGACAATCTCAACCCCGAGGAGGTGAAAGGCTCAAGAAGCGTCAGGAGCTACGCGACAGCTCGAGGACCCTCCTGGACGGCACCGAGGTCTTCGAAAGCACGCGCGTTCGGAGGGGGCGGCCAGCTCCAGTGGCCGCAAGCGAGAGAGCCCACTGGAGCCCACTAACAACGCCAAGAGGTGCATTCGCGAGGTCATCTCGGAGTGCGACTCTAGGCTGGCAGGGCGGGCAGACTCAGCGGGACAATCATGGGCGGGGCCATCTCGGCGCGGGGGCCCTTGAGAGAGTGCTCGCACAGACGACGTCTTGGGACCTGATTGTTTGGATCGCCGACAGGTGCACTACTGCAGAGAGTGAGGAACGAAACGCATGCAATAACCACGCAGGCCACCGGGGCGCATCCTCGAGGACCCCACATTCAACACGCCGTGACTACCAGCGTGCTCTTCCCGACCTACACATCGATGGGGGAATGGTGGGATACTACAGCAGGGTATGCGGGCGCAGTTACGACGATGGACGGGACATGTATCCACCAGATCGTTCTGGAAGAGAAGTGAGCCGAAAGAGAGAGAGAGAGAGAGAAAAAAAAAAAAAAGAGGAAAGAAAGAGGGGAGATAATGGGGCAACGCTGGTCCCCCAGTTGATGTTTGGAAAGCATGGGCCTCTTGTTTCTCCTCCCCTTCTCCTCTTGAGTGGTCGCGTCGTCGTCTGATCCCTCTAGTTGGGGAGCCCTGCTCGCCCAGCGCGCCCCCATTCCATAGGCGCGCGGAAGGGCCAGCAACTGCTCCCCCCGCACTGACCCGCCGGGGCGCGCATTCACAAGGTAGCGAGCCTCGTTTACGGGGCCACTTCAGAGCTCACCCCTTGAAGCTTCGGGGCATGGCCCCTGCCGGCCCGAGTGAGAAGGCAGGGCCGCTGCACAACCAAATCGCAGGGGATTTTGCCAGACGCGCGCAAGGCATCAGTCTAGGTGTGTCGACTTTGACCCCTTTATGCGGATGTCCTGTCCTGTCTTGCCCCATCCCCTCTTCAGCTCGACCTCCTCCTCTCCGTCCGACCATCCTCCGCCCCTCATCGTTCACCCCGCTTGCCGGAACGGCGGCATTTCCAGCCTCCCCCTCCCATCATTCCTCTTTCCCCACGTCGCCCCTCCTGGCCCGTGGGAGAAACCAGAGGGGCTAAGACGATCATAAATCGGTTCCAAAACATCTCGGAGCGTTCTCAGAGCGTTCCGGAACTTTCTGAGAAGGCCCTGGAGCCGCCGGGTGTCAGAGAATTCTCGATTGTTCCTCACCCGAGTTTGTCCTCGTCTTGGCTTCGTCTTACTAGAAGGGCTGGGTGACCGCACAGGCGCCGGCCCGCTCGCCGCCTGGCCGACGGTGTCGCAGGCGTTGTCCGCCCTGCCTCGGAGGCCGTCCGCCGCGGCGTTCGACAGGGCCATGGATGCCGCGCTGCAAAGCGGGAGGCTGCGCGGCGGCGGGGTGGGCGGTTCCCCGCACCCGTGCGACGGGAGGGGGGGGCCTCTGCCACGCCTCTTCGTGCTTCCTCCCTTCGGGAGCCTTGGGACGGGGGTCGATTCAAACGGGGTTCAGCCAGCGCGCCGGATCTCGCAGGATCCTGCAGAGCCAGGGTTGCACTGACCCAGGATGGTGCGCAGGATCCTGCAGGATCCTGCAAGGCCTGAGTGACCCCGGTTTGCATCGACCAGGGTCACAGTGCGTCCCCGATCCCCCCGTCCGCCGTTTTCTTCTGTGTTTCGTCCTGCTGTTTCGCCTCGTTTTTGGGGGGCCGTGGAGCTCGTTTTCCCCCTCGGCGGGTTGCCACCGCTGGGCGCTGCTCGAACATGTCATTCGACTGGGTACATCGGGGCTCGGCCTGTGCTGCCGCGGCGTGAGCTTGGGCGGCGCGGCCAGCGCGCCAAGGCCCAACGACCCGCACGACCCACCACTTCCTGAAATGCATATCTCCCCCGTGTGAATGAATCTTCACTGTCGCGCCACTGAGCGTGCCGTGAGGGCGGTCTCCGACTTCGGCTTGGGACTCCTCCGCCGCTTACGACCTCCAAGCTTGACATGTCGCACAGCTGCACGGACGGAGGTCCGGTGGCAAACATATCCAGCATTCAAGCGGATGCAGGGTTAGTGGGTTCGGGAATGCGGTCTTGGACCATTTTCAATTTGGGTTTCTCGATTGAGAGATCATGGCAGCTCATGTCCAACAATTCGAACACCGCGCGGTAATTGCATGTTTGGGTTGAGGCTAGTTGCTTACATTGGGCGTTCGATTCAGACGTCGCTACATTTTCCAAGAGCCAGGCAGTCTGCGAAAGCTACACGGATGGAAGGCATTTTCTTTTGAAAGTGGGGTCACCGTGGGATATTAATGTGGCGCTTCATGACCTCACGGGTCGCAGGGGAAGCATGTTTTAATTCACGAGATTTTTTTTCTGAATTGCGGGCCCATGCGGCGTACGTCTTCCAATGGGGAATTTGGCGCAGTGAACAAGCATATTTCTTGCGGCTTATGAGGAGGGGGCTTGAGACGTGAGGGTGTTGCAGCATCGTTGACATATAATGGGTTTGCGGTCCTCTTCGTCCTCCGCGTTCCGATTATCCTCCTTCTCCTCCTCCTCCTTTCCCTCCTCCTCGTCCTCATCCTCCCCACCTTGCCCCACAATTCCTCCTGCTTCTCCCGCGGCGCCTTGACGCAGGCCGCATGTCCGCACGTCCTCCTCTCGCCGCCGGGCGCCTTACTTCCCTCAATTCCTCCTGCTCCTCCCTCGGGCGGTACTAGCGTAACTTCGGCGAGCACTACGGTTGCGAGCAGGCAGCGCGAGTGTCACCAGCACGGCTGGGACTAGCAGCGCATCGGTGAGCCGTCCTAGTGTGAGCATTTGGTTGCAGTGCGACTGTTGGGGGGCTGGGATCTGTGCCTTTCCGGGGTTGGGGAATTTGAGCTACCTGGGTGCTGTGCGTCCGAAGGATTCGTGATGCCTTTTGAAGGGCTGTTCTGGGGGAGTATGAGCGAGGTGTCCGACAGATGCGTGACGCCGCGAGGCGGCGGCAGCTGCGGCCTGACTCTCTGTTTGTGGACGTGTTGTTCCCTTTGCACGAGCCGCCCCCTTTTGGAGGGGAGGGAGGAGCCGGGGACAGAGCCACCATAGGGTTCGGCAGCGGGCCGGGAACATCAGCCACCACAGGGCGATGTCATCCGACTCCACTGGGAGGCCACCACTGGGGTTTCCACAGGCGTCCATGCATGTGGGGTGGGGGCAGATGGGAGGGATTCATGTAATCATTGGCTTCGAGAAATCAGCCGCACCACGGCGACCAGCAGCAGCACGCGCGTTACCATCACGGCGGGGGCAGCAGCACCACGGCAACATGTAGCCTACCAGCACGACTGGAGCTATGATTTGGGAGGTTTCAAGCCACGTGGGAGGGGAAGGGGGAGAATAATCACGTTGCTCAGAATCCCCACCACCCCCGTCGTAGTACGTGCGGCGTCAGGGAGGGGGGGGGGGGGGCGCACGCCCACCCTCCGCCGCAGGGAACAGTGCGAAGTCCCTTTTGTGCGGAGCGGTGGGCAAGGAGGGGCGCCAAAGGTCCCCCAACCTTGAAGGTCCGGGCGCCATGCGCTTGGCCGACGTTGTAGGGGAGGGACCATACGCCACCCCGACAACTTTGCGGCAGACGCGGAACAATGAATTGTAGGTATTCATCCTCGTCCTCGTCCTCATATACTTCGACGTTCCATATCACCCGTGCTGTTTCTTATTGCCACCGCCCACGAAAGTACACCCGCATAGTGTTCCTACCATACGTGTTCCTTCTAAATTCGTCCCGCAACCTCCTCCTCCTCCTCCTCCTCTTCCTCCTCCGCCTCCTAAGCCCACGCTCGGCCTCCTCCTCCTCCTCCTCCTCCTCCTCCTCCTCCTCCTCCTCCAGCTCCTTCTCCTCGTCCGCAGTCGCCGCAGTCCGCCTGAGCACAGGGTTTCGAGAAGTTACCACGGGCTCCACTCTTGTTTCCACTGGTTCCCCGGGAGCACTTGGGGGTTTCTCGAGTGCCCCCAGGAGCTATCAGCGTTCCCAGGGGCCGCCAGGGGCCCCCCAAGTTCTCCAAGGGCTCCCCGGGTGCTCCCAATTTTCACACGCGCGCGCGGGTGCTCCAGACGATTTTGGAGGATATTTCTGCCAGCGCGCGCTGCTCCTGTTGATCGGCGCGCGGCAGGTCGACAAACTCCTAGATGAGCCGGTTCGCATGAGTCGGGAGGAAACGCGGCGTGGCCATTTGGCACCAGTCCGCGGCGGCGGTCTTCGTTGCCCAGGAAGTCCATTCTTGCCGCGGACAGCGCGACGTCGGCGAGGATGAGCAGCTTGCGCGCCGCGTCGCATCTGGCGCCCGCCCGCGCGGCGAGGACACCGATCTCGTCGGAGCGGAGACGCCGCGCATTCTGGCAGGTGCATTGGCCAAGAGCCAGCGGCGGGTGCGAAACGCGTGACGAGGCAGGCTGGTTAGCACCGCTGGATGCCTGGACAGGCTGAACAGCGCCGCCCCGCGCCCACCTCCGAGCAGGCCCTTGCCGCGGGAGATCCTCGTTGACGCGCGCGCCGTCGCGCTGCGCGGGGTCCTTGCGTGCCCGCGGCGAGAGCGGCATGGCATTGAAAAGGTTGCTCTTCCCCAGGGCGTGCTCGCAGCCGGGGGCGCTGAGACCATCAATGGGTGGAGCGCTGCGCCAGCTGAGCACCTCTTCTCGGAAGCGCGCATTGGCCAAATCGCAGCGAGGCTCGAATCGGAACGGCGTGCCGCACTCCATCTTCGCCGGCCGGCCCAGGGAGAGGTCTCCTCCTTTCCATGGGCGGACGCAGGGGAGGTGATCTCCTAGCGGTCCGTGCGCTCGCAAGAGAACGAGCTGGCTGCTCCCGCGACCGGAACGAGAAAGTCCGATATCGACATCCATATGCAAGCTTTCGAAGACGCGCATGCTTCATTGGCGAACCAGGACTTCTGGCGCGTCGGGCACCTGCGAAGACTCGCGCGAAAGGCTTCGGCGACGAGCTGCTCGCGGTGGCGCTGGCCGGCCAAAAGAAAAACGTTGAGCGCCCGCCAGAAAAACGCAGGGCAATCCCGACAACAATGATGGACGCGGCGCGGGCGCCGGCCATGAGGATCCCGTCGGCGGCGTCCCTGAATTGCCGGGCCAGAAGTCGCGCCCCTGGGCGCGGCGGCGCAGGTCCTTCCGGTCGTGGCGCCGCGCCTCGCGCGAGAGGCAAATTGCGCAGAAGAGCAGATGGGCGCGGTTGGTCTGCCCCCCCCCGCCCCCCCTCCAGAAGAGCTTCGAACGGCGCCTGGGCAGCAGCGGGCACGGGCCCCCCGTCGCCGCCCGCGACCAGCCACCGGGCCGTTTCGCTTTGCGACGGCAGGCGCGGCAGGACGCGGACTCGCGAGGTCAGCTGTTGGCCGAGGCCATCTTCGATCCCCGCGGGTGCGCGGCGGCGGCGCGCTCAAAGTCGGCGGCGCAGAGCCTCGGAGACAAGGCTCGCGCGCCCGCGGCGCCACTGGGCCACTGCGCGTTGCCAGGCTGCGCTTCGACGCCCAGACGCAGGGGGAGATGGACCGACTCGACGACGAACTGGGCGTGGAAGTCGTCGACGAGCTCGGCGCCGCTCCAGCAGGCATGTCGCGCGGCGACGCCTTGCGGGCGACGCGGGGCCCAGCGCGCGGACTCTGCGCGCCGGGCCCCGCGCTGCGCGCGGGGCAGCATGAGGCGCGGGGGCGCGTGCCGCGCAAGCTGCTCTCGGGGGACTTCTACCAGCCCCCGCCCGCGCGCCCCTTCTCGGCTTCCTTCTTGGCCCCTGCGAACGAGCAGTCCTGCGAGCACTTGCGTGCCCGGGAGCTCCTGCTGGACGTCCCCCGCGCGCTCGAGCATGCGAGGGCGACCCGGGCCTGTCGGGCGCCCGCGAGGCTGCGCGGGCGACGGGCGGCAACAAAAATCAGGGGCGACGTCTGGGCCATGCTGGAAGCCGCGGTCGGCCGCGAAGTTGGCCCTCGATTTCGCGGCGCGCGGGGCTGGCGCGAGCGCGACCATCAGTGGAGCGGGGCGACCTTCGCCGCGCGCGTGCGCGCGCGCTCGAACGCCGCGCGCGCTGCCCTCTTCCACTTCCCAGCAATCAACCAACGGGCTTGCCGCTAGGCTCACCCAGAAGGACTACGACGACATGCGCATTTGCGCCAATATCGGCGCCGCCGCCGAGCTCGCCTGCGCCCCCGTTGCGCGCGTGAACATGGAGATGGCGCTCACGGGGTTTTACTTGCCGCCTCGTATGGTACGCGGCACCCCTTGTGAAGGTCGCGGGTACTGGGTTCCACCGGCATTGGCCGCCTGTGGTCAACAGGCATTCAATTTTCCGGCGCTCTTGCGCGATCTCGAAGTTCGCGTCGCTCGCCACCCGCGCCCGATTTTCAAATAAAAACCAGGGCGTCGCCGAGGGCGACTGGCGATCTTCAACCTGGGGGGCCAGAGTTGACGGGCGCGCTGGCCATGGCGCCCGCCGCGCGATCTCGGTCGCGCCAGCCCGCGAGCGTGCAGAGCGCCGCGTCTGTGGCTAGGTCGCAATTTCCATTCCCCTGGCAGCAGTGCGCACCCCGTGGCACCCAGGGTAAATCAGCAGATCCTCGCTTCGCTGCCCTGTGGCAGTTCGCGATTGGACTGGCGCACAATCGCGTGCTACGCGGCTCTGTTCCGCCCGCGCAGCTTCCCCAGTCCCCCGCGTCGCTGCGAGGCAGACATGGGTGACGTAGAAGGCGGACCCTCGGGGGCCATTGCCGCCGCGCCGGGCGAATGCTACCCCGAGATGATCGAATCGGCAAAGCGGCACTGCGTGGATGCAAGCGCCGCCTTGAACTGGTCACCGCGGCCCTGCTGAACACGGGGCCTTGCAGCCTGCGTGCGGTTCGAGTTTTCGCGATCGCGGTGCTGCTCAGCCTGTTGCACCCATGCCTTCGCGACCGCGGCGCTGCTCGGCCTGTTGCGCCCGCGCGCTCGACATTTGCGTCGGCGCGGGGCGTCGACATTTTGCGTGTCTTCCGACTGCGAGGGGGCTGAATTCATACCCGTCTGGTGCGCGGCCCGACGATCTCTCGCTGATGGGAATCAGAGACGAACGTGCTCGTCGCAGCGCGCTTGGGGCGCTGGAATCGCTACGTACCGCTGTTGGGGAGAAGTGGTCCGTTCAGAGAGATGTTGGATCATCTGCAGGTTGGCCCTACCATCGCTAGCTTCCTCATGGAAGCGCGCCAGCTGCTGTTGGGAACCGCGGCGCTTTATAGCCTGGGGCGCGCTCGGCGATTGGCCACCGCGTCCGAGGTGGTTTTCCGACAGGGACCGCGGCAGTCCCTGGCCTTTGTAGACAGCTCAGCCTGTTGCCCCCATGCTCTCGCGATCGCTATGCTCCTCACCCTGTTGCTATCAAGCTCTCGTGTCCACGGTCCTGGTCAGCCCGTGCTATAGCGGGCGGCTCTCTCGCCACTCCACCCGAACGGCGGACGCGTTCACCGGCGCAGTCGACAAGAAACCTTCTGCTCATCGCGCCCATCATCCCCCTCACCGCCCATTCCCACCAGCAGCCGCGAAAGTAACAGCGGGGGCGGCAGCGACACAACTACCACCACCGCCATCATCATCGCCATCCTCATCACAATTACTATCACAATCCTCCACATCGTTTGCAAATTTCGGAATTTTGAAAATCTCCTTACTTTCGCAGTTATTCGGGCGCTTTGCTGAGGTAACTTGGGGGCCTCTAGGGGGTTTTGGGGGCCATGATGGTGCCCTTCGCAATTTCCCTCAGCGACGGGGTCCCGATTTGGACTGGTTTGTGCGGGGGTCATCTTGGACCGCTTTGGGCTTGTGTTGGGGATCCTCTTGGGGCCTGGCGGGCTGTATTGGAGCTGTCTGGGGCAGTCTTGAAGTATTTTTGGCAAGTCTTGGGACGATCTGGGGGGCCTCGCGGGCGGTCTCGGTCACCCGGAAAACAAAAACACCAACCATTTCACAATTTGTTGGGGGTTGTTTCGAGGGCCTGGTGGTTGTTGTTCTTTGGGCCGTTTTCGAGCGTCTGGTGGGTGTGTGGAACCGTTGGGGGCTCCTGTGGGGCCGTCAGGGCGCCTTCCTGGCAGCTTTGGGCTCGCTGGCCAGGCATGGCAGGGACGTCGGGGAGGCTTCTGCAGGGGCGTCCAGACGGCCCACGGGATCAGGGATCCATTTAGTAGCAGATTATGAGAGCTTCGTGTGCCGGCTTTATCCAGTTTTTGCCGTCGGCTATCGTCGAGGGTCGTCAGGTGATCGATGCGGTAGAGTCGATGTAGCGTCGATTATCGTCGGCTAGCGTCGATTTGGCGTCGATCACCGTCGATTAGCGTCGATTGCGGTCGGCGAACAATATGGTAGGGAAGGACCATGAGTTGCCGCCAAAAAGTATTCAGGGGGTCGAGTTCATGGGGGGCTTGCATGGCTTCGGATGAATAACAACATATGGTATGTAATCTTCATATGTGCACCGTCGTTTCCACAGGAACATGTCCAGCATACATTCGCTCAGCTTGCCTGCCTTCCCATCGTACACCTTCGACTGACCAACAACAGCTTACGTATAATGACGAACCTCTCGTGTCGTGAAGTTGGATTCGGCGCCCACCCAAGGAATCTGAGCGGACCTTCGAACAACATAATGATTCCCCATACCCTACATGAGTTTGTTGTTATTGGAGCGTCGCATCCGCCTCACACACTCCAGCTCCAACTCTTCCTCTCCCCCCTTCATCTCCGTTGCGTTGGTCATCGCACTCGGCCGCTCAAATTTCCGATCATCCACAGTCTGATTACTCACATTGAGACTCACCCGCAGTCAGACCCACTCATATTCAGACTCATTCACACTTACACCCACTCATACTCAGGCTCCTGACTCTCAGACCCAGTCATACTCATACCCACTCGCACTCAGACCCACTCATACTCAGACTCGCTCACAGTTAGACTTACTCACACGCACCTCATTCATGTTCAGTCCAACGCATGCAAAGACGCACTGATACTCATATTCACCCATAGTCATATTCATTTACACTCAGACCCAGTAGTACGATGGCTCACTCACACGCAGGCTCATCCATTCACTCGCATCAGACTCGCGGAATGTGAGGATGTCGTGAGCGAGGCGCTGGTTTCAGTACCTCGAGGGGGAGCGACCAAGGGTGGTTTCACTCCGCCGTTCACAGCCATATGGTGAGATGTATCAGGCAGCTTGCGTGTTTAGTGGTTCAGGCTCCTTTGCGTTCGGAGCAAACTATCTCGTAAGCGGGGCGCTGGTTTCAGCACCCGAAAGAGGAGGCGCCAGGGATGGGTTTACTCCCCCGTTACCTAGCGGCCATATTGTAGGTATGCCTCAGGCGGTTTGCTTGTTATGTGGCACGGGCACTTCTGCTGTTTTCAGAGCAGATTCGGATGTCGTTCCTTGCCTGGTGGCCCAGACTTCTTTGTTGCCAGAGGAGATTGTGAGGATATCTCGAGCGAGGCGCTGGCGTGAGACCCCCGTGGGGTAGCCGCCAGGGCACGTTCGCGCCCAGTTTGTTGACACGTGTCAGGCGGGTTGCTTTTTTGTGTTCAAAGCAGGCTGTGAGGATAGCTTGTGCGAGGCGTTGGCTTCTTGACCCCAGCGGGGAGCCGCCATGAAGCATGTTGTGAGGATGTCACGAGCGAGGTGATGGTTTCATCGCCCCAAGGAGGCCCCGCCTGGGAGCAGATGTTGAGGACGTCTCTAGCGAGGCGCTGGCTGCAGCACCCCAGGGGGGGTGCCAAGGGGTAGGGCATTCGCCCGTTCGCTGCCAGATCGTGCAGATCGTGAGGATGTCTCGAGCGATGTGCCCGTTCAGAACTCCATGGCCACCCCGGTGTAGGGACAAAAGACGGCCGCCAGGGAGGAGCAGGGAGGACGGATGAGGAATTAGGAGGAGGCAGAATGAGGGAGAAGGCAGGGGGGACTACGGACTACGAGAAGGGAGGAGCTACGGCGAGGAGGAAGAGGAAGGTGAGGTGAGGGCCCCCAGCAGGGCGGGGGGGGGGCGTGCCAGGGGGAGGGAGGAGGGAGGACGGAATTCCCTTGCTAAAGGATCTGGATGGGTACGGCGAGGTTTCGGCTGGTGGGCGGCGGTTGCCCCCCCGTGTGGGCGTCTCGTGGTTGCCCCGTGGCCGCCCGTTGCCACCCGTGGGCGCCCCGTGGGCGCCACAGAGTTTGCACCATGCAGACCGCACGGTTGCACAACATGACTTGCAGTCCCCAGCCTACACCGCAATTTGTACCGCTTCTTTGCACCACATGAACTGCACCAGTTCGTTTGCACCGCATAACTTGAGCCACCTAACTCACACCACACAGCCGACCACCTAACTTCACCACACAGCCTACACCACACATGTTGTACAACCTAGCTTACACCACATAGCTTGCGCCACGTAGCCTGCACCACAACTTGCGCGCACAGCTTACACAATATAGCTCATACCACCCAGCTTGCACCACATAGCTCGCACAGCATACCTTGCACCACATAGCGTGTTCCACATAGCTTGCACCACTTCGCTTGAAGCACATATTACTCCACCTAGCTCGCACCCAACAGCTTTCATGACATAGCTTACGCCACGTACATGGTGCTGCATAGCTTACGCCACATAGCTTGCGCCACATAGCTTGCGCCACGTGGCGTGCACCAGGTACATTGCATTTACACCACGTGCTTTGTCTCGCACAGCTTGCGCCGCGTAGCTACATCGCATAGCTTGCGCCACGCATCTTGCACCACACAGCTTGTGCCACATAGCTTGCACCGCGTACAGTGCACCACAGCACCACAGAGCTTGCAACACATAACCGTTGCATCATATAGCTTACATCCTACAGCTAGCAACACATAGATGGTCCCGCATTGCGTACACCGTATAACTTCCACCGTAGGGGTAGCACAGCATTGCTTGCACACCATAGTCTACTCCCTTGTATTGCATCACGTAGACTGTATTGTACAGCTAGCACACATAGTTTGCACCACATAGTTTAGACATCCGCAGTGGAACGACTTACTGTTCGAGGCCTTCCCTCCTCTTCACGGCGTTCCCATCCTGGGGCGGGCTGTGAGCAGCAAGGCAAGCAGAGCCTCGTCTCTCGCGCGCGCTTGTCCAGAGAAGATCCTCCCAGGTCGAGCAGATCCTTTTCCGACCTCCTCCTGCCATCAAAGGACCTTCGGCGGGGGGAGCTGCTGATCAGCCTAGACATCGAGCAGTGGCACTTGAAATAGCGAACCACGTTTCACTTACATAATCCTCAGTGTGCGTGGCAAGTGCCTCCGTTCCCTCCTCTCTTATGGCTCCTTCCCCCTCGTCGCCAGAGGCCAGAGCAGGGCGTCAAGATCTATAATAAGATGGCCGACCTGGGCGTGGAAAAGAGCGCCATCAGCTAGACTGGCAGGCTGAGGCCAATCCGCTTCTACAGGAACACGCAATCTCGTCGTCTGCCCTGTCGTCGTCCTCATCCGTCCAGGAGTCGAATGAGCAAACATGGGGAAGGAGGACCAGAGTGAACCCAGCACGCGCCGCTAATGGCTGATGATACAACAGACCCTTTCCTTGTGAAGGCTCTGTGTCCGTTAGTCAACACACTTGCGTCTTACCACCACGGCGAGTTCCCGCTGGAAAGGTGCGGGTCCCACGGGTTTGCACAGCCATATCAGGCCCCATTGGCGGATCATCATGGCATTTGTTTCGAGTCGCCTTCTAGCCGTAGCCGTGTAATTATCAGGAGATGTACGGCAAGTGTGCGCGTGCCGGATGGCATGAGTCTAAACAGAACGCGCTCTCCACCCGTGTAGTTTGATCATAATGTTTGATTGAGGTTCCGGCGGCAGCCACAATTTAAGCAGGAGTTTGGCCTCATCTTGGTAGTCGTTGGAGATGTCTGAGAGGAATGATCGTGGAGCCGAGGCGATTGCCATGCTTTTAAAGCCAAGTGTTGTTGAGCCGAGGTGATTGCCATGTTTGAATGCCACGCTTGTTCCTCTCTGAAAGTGTCGTGGACTGGTAAGACTAATGTGTGTGGCCATTGGCGGAGCAAGAGTAAGACGGAGGACGGATGGTTAGAGCATGAGGAGAATTAAGATGAGGAGGATGAGGACGAGGATTAGTAGGAGGAAGGAGGGGGAGGAGAAGGGAGGAGAAACAAACTGAGTTGGAAACGGAGAAACAACAAGCAGAAGGAGCAGAGAGTAAAGGACGGGAGGGGACGGGAGAATGAGCATGAAGAGCATGTGAGGATGAGTCAAGGGGATGAGTGTTCTAGGGGCTGAGGCTTCTTCTCCTTCTCCTCTCTCTAGCCCTCCTGCGCTGTATCCTTTTCCCCCAAGCTCGGTGAGCGATTTTGGATAGTTTGCGGACCTCGCATCGGTACTTACTTGTTGGTTCTTTTGTGATGGTGCCCCGCCCCAGTGTCTCGAAGTCCAAAGTCATCGTTTTCGTCCTCTCCATTGTATCACCAGCCTCGCCCTACGTCGCGTCTTCATTTTCTCACTTATCGCCTCCCTTCTCGTCTTCCATCCTCCTTCTGTTCCCTCTTCCCCAGCCTCGTCCGTATTATCATCATGGCCTTCCTCCACATTTTGGAACGAATGAGAAGAAGTGGGAGGAGCCAATGCGTCAGAGTGCCAGACGCTTGGCCAGTAGCTCGAGAGCATGACGCTGGTAGCAAGCAGCCACTGAGTTTACTACGTCAAGCTCCAGTACGTTGCTGTTCAAGGATGCACGTGCAGCGATAACCAGGTGATGGCGCAATGCCTTATCCGATTAGGCATTGTGCGGAATACCGTCGCAGCTCCTATGAGCCGCCTAGCGCCATCTTTTGCACAGGTCGGAGTCGGCTTGCCCAGCAGAGTGTAGCAGGAGCACGGCGTGCGAGGAAGCCCAGGGGGAGGGTTCAGCGACGGTTCAAGAAACCCGCGCGGACCTCAGAGTTTTTGTCTCTATGTAACTATGACGTGTGAAAGCGTTGCTTTTTCAGCCAGTTGCAAATGCAGCGTGTGTTGCCCAACTGCCAGGATCCTTCTCCCCCTCCGCATTCGAATTGGAGGGGGGATGGCGAGGGCGGCAGAGTGAGATCTTCTTCCCCATCAAAGCCGCCGCCTGCGCTCTGACCCGCGCCCCCGGCGACTCTCGACGCTGCTCACAGCGGCGCCCCCCGCCTTCGCTCGCACTCCTCCCCTCCGCTCCCCTTCGTTTCTCTTCCCCCTCCAGCGTATCACCAGCGTCTCATAGCATGGCCTATCTGCTCCGTACTTGGCTGACCACGTGGTTTCCTCCAAGAGCTCCTCATCTTGCGACACCACCTCACGTACCAGGCCCGCTTCTTCGCAATCGCCACACTCCCAAATGTTCGTTCCGTAGGTTCGTCCGAACGCGGCGAATACAAGGCTCCGTGCCCTTCTCGCCGCAGCGGCCTTGAAACGTGGTGCACGAAACAAGGCGGCAGTACGTGTTTCACATACCACGCGCGGCGGACATGGGTGCGGCAGCATGGCCGGTGATACTCATTTGCGCTATGCACATGCTGATTGTCCAGCTTTGGGACCCGCTGTCATAGAACGTGTTTCGCCCTCGAGGTTCATGCAGCACCGAAGAGCCAGCAGCGACATTGCACGCCGTGTGCAAACACACTTGGTAGCGTGCGCCCACGGCGGTGCGCAAGCGCTCTTGTCATCCTCCTCGTGGGCCCCATCATCCTTCTCCACTTCGTCGTCATGATCCTCCTCTTCCTGCGTTGTCATCAGAGTGAGGGGGCCGAACGGTCATTCATCGTCCCTGGGTGCGTAGCTGACAAGGGAATCCGTGGTGAGGATTCTGCTTGTTACGTTGTTGTTGTAGTTGCTGTTGTTGTTGCTGTTGTTGTTGTTGTTTTTGTTATTGTTCCCCACCCGGCAGGTTGGGGTTTTTAGATTTCAAGAACAGACCCCCGGCCATCCCCACGCATACCGCGGCCGCCAGACCCCAATTTGTCCTGAGAGTCCCCGAGAATCCCTGGGACTCTCGCCTCGTGCCCTCGACAAGCACGACTGCATACCGCGGCCGCCAGACCCCAAGTTGTCCCGAGAGTCCCCGATAGTCCCTGGGACTCCCGCCTCGCGCCCTCGACAAGCACGACTGCATACCGCGGCCGCCAGACCCCAAGTTGTCCCGAGAGTCCCCGATTCCCTCGGAGTCATGCCTCGCGCCTTCGACAATTACGAAAAACACAGCACTACACAACATAACAGGACATAACACAACATAGCAATGTCATGACAAGCACAGCGTAATATAACAACACGATGCACATCATGGCAGACCATTGCAGAACATAACACGACATAACACACCATACCATAACAAAACTGAGCATACCATAACACTCATTGACGGGACATGTTATATCATGACACAGCGTTCAGAACATGTCATAACACACCAACAGAACACAGCGACGAACACGACAGAACACAGCATGACACAGTATATTATATCATAATCAAACACGATCATGGCATTACATGGCGGAACATCATATGGCAGTATCAGTACAATACAGGCCATGCCATAATTTCACAGAGCATGTCCTATCACAGCATGACCTAATCGCACAACATGATAGACATAGCACGACGGACCAGAACATACCATGCCACACCATGACAGAACAATTCATACCATGAGAGAACATACCAGAACATAACATCTCATACCAAACATGCCATGACATAGCAAATCGTGACACACGACATCTTGCTATAACATCACAAAACAGACCATGCCATAATATTGCACAACATAACATGACATACCAGACCATAACATAACAGGACCGATCATAACATACCACACCTTGACGGAACATATCATATCACGACACAGCGTTGTCATATCATCACAGAGCATACCATATCATATCATGCACAACATAGTAGGCATACGATATAACATAACATAGCATGACAGACCATGGCAAACAATGTACATCATGAAAAAACATGTCACAACATAACGTCACATAACAAACCTGAGGAGAACGTCACATAACAGAGAACCACATACCATCTGATAAGACACCGAACCAGAGCACAATACAACATCACATAACAAACCAGAACCAGGCCAGACCCCCAGTTGTCCCGAGAATCCCCGAGTCCTTGCCGCCGCCGCGTTTGGCGGCCTCCTCGCCTGCGTCCCTCAGTAAGGATGGGAGGGGGGAAGAAGGAGGAGGGGAAGGAGGCATGGGGGAAGAGGAGGAGGATTGGGGCCCAAGGTTTCGGTGGGGATCGCTCGAAGTAAATAATAGCTGCTGTTGTTGTTGTTGTTTGTTGTCGTCGTCCCACCCGCGTGACCCACCCGCGACCCACCCGCGACCCACTCCACGACCCACCCGCGGCCCACCCCGCGACCCACCCGCGACCCATTCGCGATCCACCCGCGACCCAATTGCGACCCACCCGCGACCCATCCCGCGACCCACCCGCGACCCAGCCGCGACCCAGCCGCGACCCAACAGCGACCCACCCGCGACCCACCCGCGACCCAACCGCGACCCATTTTTGACCGCGACCCACCCGCGATCTACCCACATTGGTTTAACGAGAAAATCGGCGCCTGCGGCGGGCTCGTGGTATAATTTGTGATATGTTGGCGCCAGCGGCGGGCTTCTCCAAAGTCTCGCAGACTGCCGACGTCCCCACCGCCCCTTCACTCTTCTCCGCATCTGTAGGGTGCTATGGTATCATCCTCGTTATCCTCCTCTTCCTGCATCTTCCCCCCTTACCTACCATCCCCATCCTCCTCGCGGGACAGTTTCTGCGGGGCAGCCGGGCGGATCCGCGGGCCAGCGGTCTCCGCGGCCATGAGGTTGTTCACGCAGCTGAGGAGGCCCTCCAAGGCCCCGGCCCCAGCGGCAGGGCCCGACCATGCCGTTGCGAAAGGATCACGATGGACAGTCTTGCCCCTTTCCGTATCTAAGGACCGTCTTGCATCGATCCGGCTCGAAAGATTCAGCAAACAAATGGAGTCGACAAATTTGACAACGAATGGCTCTGCAGCGACGTTACATCTCGGGTGGCTTATTTGAGTTTTCGACGACGTCGCATGATTGGGGATTTTCTAGTCCCCGGGCGTTTCCCAGCTGCTGCGCCCTGTCGAGAGCCCTCCGAGGACGCCTGAACAGTCCAGAACCATGCCCTCTGACGCGAGTTGCGACAAAGAACCTGCAACAGGGCAGCAGTTCTTTTTTTGATTTGGTTCCGCGGCCTCTCGGTGCGCCAATTCCCACAACTTGCAATTCACGTGGCAAAGTCCACAGAGTTCCGCATACGGGGTTTCACACACACACAGCGTTGCACCCATCAGACAGCGAAAAGCGGTGCATTCGAATTAGTTCGCGTGCTTTTGTTGTGTATGACCAGGGTGTCAGGAATGAGAGTAACGGAGACGATGAAGGCGTCGCGTCGATGATGAGAACCATGACTATTGATTGATTTATTGATTCATTGATTGAATGATAGTGACGATGAAGATGGCGACGATGATGAGGATTACAATGACGATGATGATGATGATGATTATGATGATGATGCTGATAATTCTGATCATGATGATGGCTATGATGCATATGATGATGGTGGTGGTGCTGCTGATGATGATGATGATGCAGCTGCTGCTGCTGATGATGATGACGATGTTGTTGGTGGTGGTGGTCATGACGATGACGATGATGATGATGCCGATGATGATGACCATGACCATGGCGACGACGATGACGATCACGATAACGATGATGGTGGTAATCATCATCATGCTGATGTTGGTGGTGATGATGATGATGCATCTGCTGCTGCTGCTGATGATAATGATGGTGATGATGACGCGGATGATGATGATGATGATGATGATGATGATGATGATGATGATGATGATGATGACGATGATGATGATGAAAATGTCGATCATGACGATGTTGTTGGTGGCGGTGGCCATGATGATTATGATGTTGTTGTTGTTGATGATGATGAGGATGATTATGAAGTAGATCTGATCCTCTCCGCCTCATATTCATGCTGCTTTTCACATCACTTGCTTTGCTGCGCACTGTGTGACTATCTGCAGCTGTGTTGTACCCAAGCTACGCGTGAGCGTACAGGAGATAAAAGGAGCGTGCTAGCTCGCACGCGCGCGCCGAGGGGTCGCCCCCTCGTCGTACTCGTGTCGTCGGCCGGCCGGCCTCCTCACTTATTATTCTTGATAGAGTACATTTGCTTACCGGTTACTTGTCTTATCGACGACATATCCCGTACCCTCTACCACTGAGCAGAGTGAGCTCGAGACCTTAATTCCTTTGTCATCTTTTACCCCGACTCTCAGAGGAAAGCCTGGCTATCAGCCGAAAGCCGCGACATAGTCGATACGGGTTTGAATCAGCCAGGAAACTGGTTTCCCGATGAACCCCGCGACTTAGTCGCTACGGGTCTGAGCTATGATGAGACAGATGAAATGTCCGTCGCTTCGCGAAACGCTGAACAGCAAGTTGTACAACGCGACGGACATGAACTACAGGAGAGCGGCCCGGAGCAGGGCCGCCTTCCTCCTTCTAGCATCGCTTATCGGGTCTCTCGGGGTAGAAGTAGCGGAGACTTGTCGGAATATGTTTCTCCTTCTAGAGCTCCGATCCGTGATCGCGAACAACCCCAGACCCGCATAGACGGAATGGCATAACAGCAAGATCTAGACGAGGAGCATTCTCGTCTTTGATCGCCGAATCTTCGGAGACGATAAGTCCTATCCCGATTGCTACACAGACAATCGTGCCGGCCGCTGGTGAAGCCAGTGGGTCGGGAGAAGCTCGCGAGTCCACAGGCGTGCACCCCAGCGCCCCAGACGGATGGGGAAGCACGAGTGGGACTCTGCCCATCCCTATAGCATTGAACGGACAGTTCGGCCAAGATAGTGACGAACCACTAGACAGAGAACATGAGATAAACTCCATGGAAGAAGATTTTGAATACGCCAACAGAGGAGTTTTTTTGAGCCGAGACTTGTCCTTGATGATGGATGCAGATCACCCCGCCCAAGGCGAGCGGTGGTCCCCAGATGGTTCAGATGTTGATACAAGTGACCTGACGCCTCAGGCGGTCAAGGCTGATATCGAACATCAATCTCAGGCGAAGCACGATAGATAGCCCACAGGACGGACTCCTGCACTTCAATTCAAGAAGCAGAGGAACGAGGATTACGATTTGAACGATTCACCGCTTCGGGAAGGATTCTATCGTTCTGCCGTCGCCTCAGGCGATTGGCAACCCTCGATACCTGCTGTTGTAGAGGATGAAGAAATGGTTGAACAAACAGCTTCGTATACTGAGCTAATAAGACAGGATGAAATGGATGAGGAGCTTCGAGAGGTGCCAGAACCCACAGAAAGCACGCGCACACGTCCCAGGTCGAACGCCTCGAGTAGGGGAAGACCTAATGCCAAGATCAGGAGTTCGGTCTGCTTCAAGGAGCAACAGTACTATATCCATGCTTGATGCATGCTGGAACTGCAGCCCTGACTGCGCGCCGCAGGCGGAGAGCAGATGCCCGGGGAACGCCCGCAAGCCAGATGGAGCTTGCAGACGTCCAGCGTGTAAGAGTTGCTCGGATGTGTGTCCCAATTGTAGCAATCAATGGTTGCGTGTAGATTGTTTTCCTGTGAGCGAGCAGAACTGCACATTTCTTCTCATGCAAGCCATGCAGAACCAGGCTAGATTTGTTGAAGCTAAGACTCAGCAGGAGATCCTGCAGCGCGAAGCGCAGAGGGCCGAGAAGGCTCGACTTGAGGGAGAAGAAATGACCGCAACCATCGAGGATGTTCGGAAGACGTTCGAGGCTGGAAGACTTGCCCTGGCGAGGGCTGCCAGAGAGCGAGAACAGGAGTTGGTGGGGCAAGTGCGCCATCAAACCGCGGTCGTTAAGCGGCAAGCGGAGGAAGAAGCCAAGAACCGTTGCGCCGAGAGGATGGCTTCCGAACGACAAGCCGTTGTAACAGCGTTTAACCAATCTGTTGATGCCACGACCGTATCCGCGGCTGTTGCGGCGGCTAGAGTAGAAGGGGGGAAAATCGCTACAGCCAGGGCAGAACAAGAGAAGCAGGAGCTTCAAGAGCAACTCAAAACTGCCAGGCTGGAAGCACCTAATACACAAATTGCAGTTGAGACAAGAGTCGATCTGATAAAGAAACAAAGAGAAGACCTCAGATTGCATGACAATGCTAAAGCATCCCTTCAGCAAGTGCAACTAACCGACGTCACGCGCCCATCGGCTAAGCCGATTGGAGAGAGGTACTTTGCCAGCGGTCCAGCCGTCCGGCGCATCGTCCTCACGAGAACAATTGGAGTTCATAACCATGGGAAGCGTGATGCCGCCTATGTTGAGGGCGAGGCCTGTGCCTCAGCCGCAACCCGCGAAAGGGGCTGGTGAGGAACAATGTTCGGTCTGTTTGAACCCGAAAGTCGGGGGCTGCGCCACTTGTGGAAAGCCAGGCTGCAACGGCCACTTTGACACGAACACGAAAAGATGTTCGAAGTGCACTCAGGTAAGGAGTTCGCCAGCTGAACAGGAGAAGTGGGGCGAGCAGCGGAGAAAACGCAGTGCCGACAGTGACTTTCGGGCCCTACAACAAAAGCTCCTCGACGAATGCGGCGCGCAGAGGGCGAAGGAGCAAACTGAGGAACATACTCTAGCACCGGCAGCTGCATCAGGAAGAGACGCGATGAAGCATCCAGCTGTCATCACTAAGCCCTTCCCACATGGGGAAACATAACAGGGCAAAATAATGACATCGAGTTCGTTAGAGTTATATTCTCACGCGATGCGCCCACAAGACTTGCCATGAAACCTCATGATACTGCCCCCGGTCTTGCAATTGAAGGCCCCGCCAAGCCTGGCGCCCCCGAGCATGGTATACCAACCAGGATGAAGCTCACAGGGGAGATTGAAGGACAGAGTTATGTTAATTTTCATCCGTTCTCTAAGGACGGACCTGCGAGACCGTCGACGGCTCAGCCACTAGACAACGATAAGGGTCACGCGTCTGCGGCGCAGCCGCCGGGCGGGGCGGGGAAGGATAAAAATGGTGACGACAGTAGTATCGCGTCGAGTACTCACGCTCTATCGGCCCTGAACGATGCTTTTCGCGATCCGCCAGACAAGCCACCTCCCGGCAGTCCGGGGGGATCTGGGCCCCCAGGCGGTGGAGGCGGTGGCGGCGGCCCTCCTGGCCCAGGAGGGCCAAATGATCCGGGAGGTCTAGATGAGAGTACCCCTCTGGATCAATGGAGGCAAGTTGGAAACCATCAAAAGGGCGATCTGATGGACATTCCCGATGTTACATACATACGGGAGTGGCAGATGCATGCAGTTCACGCCATTGCTGGATCTTCCCTAGAAATTCAGCTAGCACAGCATTGGATTATGGAAGCTATGAACCCACCTGTGGATGACCAGCAGCTAAGAAATGCTGGTCGTTTCCGACGTCTTGACCTCATGATCGCCACACATCTGATGGAGAAACTCAGCAAAATGCGAAGGAATCACAAGTTACCGAATCATCGCATCCACTTCCTTCAACAGATCAGTCGGATGGAGTTTGGCGCCCAGGCTGAAGAGAGACTCTTAACGGGGCGCGAAATGATCCGAGCCATTTGCCACTGGTGCTCTGTTCGATCGGAGTTGGGTCAGCATCGCATCTCGCGTGATATATTTCAAGTAGTTATAGACCCTAATCACCCTGATGCTGACTTGTGCCATTTCTACAACGAATGGACAGACGTTTACCAGCAGCTATATGGGGTTCGACCTCCATCTGTCGAAATGCGAGCCTCGATTCATGCGCACTTCGTTGAGCCG